GGTCGGGTTTGCCTTTGGTGAACTGAATGTTGGAGGTTGCATCTTAAGTGGCTTTTCATTTATTTTATTTTTTTTTTTTTTATAGTTTAATTCCTGGAGTGATGGTAAGTTGCCTATGGTGGGTTGCTTTATTGGTGGTACTTAGAACACTTGGGTGATGGTTACTTCTCTGAGGTGTCTTCCAGGTTTAGCTGGTTTTTGGGTTTTGAGCCTGTTGAAAGATTTTGGCTCTTCAGCTTGTTGTAGATGAGTTGCTGTTGCTCATTTGGCCCAGTCCTCGGTTCTTTGGCACTGTGCCACAGTATTTTCTGTGACCCTTAATCTCAGTCATTGATTATCAGGGCCAACAGCTGTTTAGAACAATTATGTCAATTTTGGCTGATGTGATACCAACAGCATCAAACACAGCCTATAAAACAACAAACTGAGCTAACCTTTAATTTGTAACTTTTAACTATATGAATTAGGATTGTGATTGTATAACAAAATTAAAACGAATCAGATAATTATATGCAATAAGTAAGTCTGTAATGTGTCATTTTTACCTTTGGGATTAAAATTTAAAATGGATTAAGGAGAAAATAGAGAAGTGGAAAAAGAGAAAGAGATTACAAGTAAGGTTGCAGGACAAAGATGGGTCCCGCCAATTTGGGACGTGAAGGAAAAGAGAGGTGGAAGAGATAAAAGATAGAACAGGCCAGAACCAGACACACAGAGAGATGAGGAACCACTGTCACAGTCATAAGAAAAAACAATGAATGAGATAGAGAAATAAAGAACAAAACAAACAAGATCCCCCTCAACCCAAATAGTCCACTTCCAGGATTCTCTCGGGTTCACTAATAGACACTATGGAGACAGAGTCCCAAGTTGAGGCACCGCATCCAGCAAGCCAGCCGTTGCGGTATGGGGGAGTGGTAGACAGCCTTGGGTGGCCTGCCCTGACACCAGACTCACTGGGCGCGCCACAGTCCAAGCAGTTTCCACGGGCCTGCGCCCAGCCAGGAGCTGCTGGGGAAGCTGATAGCAGTTCTGGTTCACGCCGATCTGGGCTGGCTCCAGGATGGCTCCCTGCCAATCTTTTTCTGCCTTGAGAGGACTGAATCCTCTGCACTCACTCGTGGCACCGCCAGCTACCACCTTCTTTGTTGTTTTTCTTTTTACTCTCTCTGTGGGCTCAGTTCACACTTTAGGTCCTTCCTTCCTTCTTGTCTTCCTCATGCTGCTATACTCCAGCATCTGCTGATTTCACCTTTAAGCTTTGTGTTCCGTCACCTGCTTGCTTTCCAGCGTGCTCAGCTAGCGCTGTTGCACGATGATCCTCCTGCACAGCCTCTACCTCGCAGAGATTCCACGGTCTGTCATGACATCATGCGACTCCCTCGTGTAACCCTTCAACTCCCTTGACTGTTATCTTTGTTAACTGTAGCTGTGCCTACATCACAACTCTGGCAGAATAAGCAAATAGTTTCTGGAGGAAAACACAAATAACTAGTTATACTTTAAATTATTGCCATTACTTTTACCAGACATAGTGGTGTGTACCTGTAATCTCAACGCTCAGGAGGCTGAGGCAGGAAGATCGCCATGAGTTCAGGGCCAGTCTGGGCTACATGGTGGGCTCAGAATTCACCTAAAGTACACAGTGAGACCTTCCCTCCCTCTCAAAAATGTTTTTCATTCTCATTACTTTGAAGTAAACCCTTAGTATTTCCCCTGTAATTCTGTTGTCCTAGTCTCTTATTCCTGTGCTCCTCTGTGTGAGTTCCACACGCTCTTCTCACTCTCACTCCTGTGGTGCAGTGAGTCTAGAGAGTGCCTTGGTTTCGCTGTTCGCTGGAGGTCACCCTTCTCATGTCCTGTGTGTGTGTGCTGTCTTCTGCTCTCCGATTCTGCCCCTGCAGTTGTCTGACCTTTTAGTACTGCTGATCGTTTTCTTCTTTCAGTGTTGCTGTTACCTGCCTATAAGCGTCATGAGGTCTGCTTCCTTTCCTACTTCAGTCCTTCCTTAAACTCCTTGGTTCATTCTTATACTAATCCTTGACCTCTCTAGGGCCCTGATCCCAGTCCTTGAGCCTTTGTAATTTTCTGTGTCATTTCACTCCTGTGATTTCACCTATCTCATGCTGACCCTGCCGTCTTGAAACACTGGTGGTTACCAAGTCTGTATCTGCAGCCAAGAGCTCACCACCACCCAGGTGACCTCTCTTCTTGAGTATCTAACAGGCGTTTCTTTAAATGTGGTGTGCAGGTGCTCTGCTGCTGAGGTGCATACAGCACCTGCCCCAACAGCCATCTCATGATGAACTGAAAGCCCAGGTGTAGACCCTGTTTTCTAGACTATCCCTATCTTCTTTACCTCAGTGCAAGGGAGTTCCGCCCTGCTGGTTACTCAGACCCCAGACTCAGCTGGCATCCTTGACCTGTCTCTGCAGTCAAATCTACAGGCTCTCCTTTCACCCCTGCCGACTGTCCTTATTTCGGTTCAAGGCAACATCTTCTCTCACCTGGGTGATTGCAGTCGCGTCCTGTGGGCCTCCCATTTCTGTGCGTGCCCTCCTTTCAGACGCTGCCGCAGGGTGGTCCTTTAAAAAAGGAACTTTCTCCATCCACACACCACGTGTCCTGCTGCTCTGCAGACTTGTCATGCGGTTTCCCACTTGTGTTTTTGGCTTTGCTGTTCCTTTATGTGTGATATGCGTCCTCCGGATGTTTGCATGGCCAGCGCCTTCATTTCCTTCCCAAATGTCTTCTTTAGTAAGACTTTTTCCTGTCCTCCTGAACTTACACTATCTCATTTTATTTTTTTCTCCAGCTTTCAAAATATGACTTACTACATATTTAAGTTATTTTTCATTCCTATTAAGTTCCATGGAGGCAAAAGTTTCTCTCTTACTCATTTTCAAATCCCTAATGCCTATTAAATTAACTAATGTCCATTAAATGACTGTATAATCCACACATCCCTGCCCCTGTGCACCTGCTTCAACCTTCATTTTCTGCTATCATGTCCTTTTGTTATATTCTAAATGCTCATCTTTTTTTTTTTCTTTTAAGTTGTATTTTAAAAGTAATTATTTATTTACTTACTTGATTAGTTGTTTGTTTTTTGAGGTACTAGAGATTAACCGAGGGCCCTCTCCCTAAGCCATATTCTGAGCCCTTTTTATTTTGTATTTTGAGACAAGGACTCGTAACATAGGCTCAGGTTATGTTGAAACTTGTGATTCTCCTGCCTCAGCCTCCCAGAGTGCTGGGACTGCGGTTGTGTTTTATATGATACTTACTTGTACCTCAGAATGAAAGTATTTGTTGCTTCCTGCTTAGAATACTTTTTTTTTCCTGTCTACTTAATGTCTGTTCACCCTTTTGATATCAGCTCAGGTCTTTGCTTCAGAGGAGCTCTGTGTTAGGGCTACTGCAATAGTCTTAGTCTTGCTGATTTTGCATTTGACCTTCTGTTTAATTAAACTGAAACTGCACAAAGCCTGGGCCTAGAGTGGAGAGCGACCACTGTTAACTATCTGATTAGTAAGTGCACTTACTGGGCTCTTGTTTTTCTTGGCTGTAATATTCTGCCTCCAGGACGTGGCGGGTTGTTTATGTTAAAGATCATCTATGTTAGCAATGATAGTTTGGTATTAAATAAGCATGATTAATGGGAATGTCATACAGTTTAGTGTCATTGGTCAAATGTGGACCGAAAATGGACTTTGTATTCCTCATTTGATATTCTGTGTGAGGATGGCAATCCAGATAGACTCTGGTTTGAATCAACAGAGAAGTGTGTGTGTACTGGTTCTGTTGTTGACATGAGGCCATGTGAATGACCCAGTACAGGTTTGCTTTACTATATAATTTCAAAAACAGAGAAAGACTGATTAACTTTTTTGCTAATCAGTAGTTAATTTCATTAGTGTGTTTACTTTTGAAAAAATATTTACTGTTTAAACTTAGTTATTTTTTAAAGTTGGTTTGAAGATTAAAGAATGTATATGAAAGTATGTCGAAGTACCTTTGCAGCTTATTATTATCATTATTATTAGTTGTGACATTAGGTAAGTAAGTTTGATTTTTCATAGTGTTTGCTTATTCTAAAGTGGGGTAAATTCCCTAGCGGCCTCTGCCGAGGGTTAGCTGCAGCGGTAACGTGCCCACACGCACTGGTACACAGAAAATCCTTGGGGAAGGTTTGCTTCCTATGTTTATGTTACCTGCTTTGTTGCCATTTTTTTTTAAGTCGAAGTGTTTATTTTTAAGTCATTATAGAGAATCTTAAGTAGTTCACACTCTATTCTTTAATGACTTTTGATTAAATACTTTATTCTTTAGGTATCTTAACTCCTATAGGAAGGATAAGTGGTGCGTGTACACCTAAATCCTTTTATTTATTTTTGATGTTTTAAAGAGTCACACAGAAAACATCAAAATGGGCTGCTAAATAAAGTTGCATTGTCTTCTTAAACCTTTTAGAACAAAATGTATGTTCCAAATTTTATTTCTGGAACAATCAGGTTTCTGAAAGGAGTATGGATGTCTTGTGAGCATCCTTCTTGTGGCGGCAAATGACACCTGCTACTGGTGCCAGCTGCTCCTGGAGTCCCCTCAGTGGCTTGGCCCCTCTGGAGCCTGCTGACGCGCAAGGCCATTCCTGTCTGTAACGCAGTCTGCTGTGAAGGGAACGAACTGTGGCGGGTGACTGTCTTGCATAGTGCCTGGAAACAAAGATACTTAAATGCTCATCAGGTGGAAAGTTAGTAAGGACCAGAGCTTGCCTGCTTCTGGAAACATGACAGTGACTTGGTGACTCTGTAGGAGAGCTGTGGATGTGGGAGAGGAGAACAACAGAGCACATGATATGTGGATGCAAGTGGAGCCTGGCACTGTGGCTTTGTGGGCCTTGGTGCTGCCAGTACATTTTTGATGCTGTGTATATTTGCAAATGACCCTGGGGTACAGTAACAGACACTAAAGTAAATGTAACATACATTCTTTTTCAGATTTACCAAAAATTTATCTCCTGACAAGATAAATCTAAGTACCCTTAAAGGTGAAGGTGAATTGAAAAATTTGGAGTTGGATGAAGAGGTACTCCAGAATATGTTGGATTTACCCACATGGCTGGCAATCAACAAAGTTTTTTGTAATAAAGCATCCATTAGGGTAAGATTTTGATATCTGTGGAGGAACTTTTATATTTTCATTTTTTTATTTCTTTTTTTCACCTTTTGAATTACTTTAGCACATACTTATAGCTTTTTATGGGGTTTATTGTCAGATGGGAATATTTTATTTTAAATAAAGACATAACTTATTTCTTAATGTACACATTCTATACACACTACACTTCTGTTGGAAATTTTAACCCTTTTCCTCATTTATTTCATGTCACTTAGAGGATTTAAAATTTTTTATTTATTCATTATTATTAAATTTACACTTTGTGAATTATTTTAACTTTAACTCTTACACATCAAATTGTATAGTTTAATTACTCTTAAAGACCTGACTTAGCTTGAGAGTCTGCTTAGTAGAAATGCAGCATGCTAATTTTTTTCATAAAATTATAATTTGATTTTCTAAGAAAAGATTATGCAAAGTTTCCTATTCCTTTGATGATCGTTTTCCATTTTGGTTCAATCTTCTATAAACTCAAGCATCTACATAGACTTGACATTTGAGTGTTTGAACATTATTTAATATTGTCTGTATTTTATATTAATGGCCTTTTGTATTTGTTTTGAGTATCTACAAAAATATTGGTCAGAATTGTAGGATTATGCAGATTGCTAAATGAACAGATTGGTGGTTATATTTTGCTGGTAGCTCTTACTTATTTACTTATTTTTGAGCGAGAATCTCACTATGTAGTTCAGACTGGTCTTGAATTCACTATGTCACCCAGGCTGGCCTCAACTTCACAGTGATCCTCCTGGCTCAGCCTGTTGAGTGCTGGGCTTACAAGTGTGCACCACTATTCCTGGCTCTGGAAACTCTTAAATTAAAATATTAAAATGTGTTTTAAGGGCTGAGAAAAATATAATTAAAATAACTTGAAGTTTTTATTTAAATAGTTGAGAAAATACAACTATTCAACTTATTTTGCAATTTAAGAAGTTATTTGATAGAATTTAGTGTTTATCACTAGTGTATCAGTTGATTAATGTCTTACATTACTTTTAAATAATCCATTTTAAAGAAAAAATATTTATTTGTAGATCCCATGGACAAAACTGAAAACACATCCTATCTGTTTGGTAAGTTCTAAACCACTTCAGAAATAAACATACATATATTCAGATTATCTCTTTTATTTCATGGAAATGATTTTCTGGATTTCCTAACCACTAGCTTCCTTTTGTTTTGGTTGGACTTAGTTTTTTCTGGCCTTATATGAGAAGTTTGAATTTCAAAATAAGAGAATATTTTAATTTTTTAGGTCTAGAGCAGTGATGGTTAACCTTTTAGGGCAGAACCTTTTAAACGGTCTGCTTATGGCATACACGCCATAGGTTTGCCACCACAAGTCTAGAGCATGATGTTCTAAGTTGTATTTTATTGTGTCATTTAGCTCTTTTGTTATTATTAGTGAGTTGAAACTGGTTACTAACACATGCTAGGCAAGCATCGTACCACCCAGCTACATTCCCAGATCTTTTTAATTTTAATTTTGAAACAAGGTCTCAGAAGTTGCCCAGCTAGGATTTGAACTTGTGATCCTCTTGCCTTAGTGATGGGATTACAGGTAAAGTATGCACCACCATGCCCAGCTGTATCATTTAAGTCTTTACTGTTACTGCCATACTATGGAGTCCATTCTTTAATAACATTTGATTCAGACTTTCTGTTTTTGCTATTACTGATATAATGAATTAACTAGTGTGCTTTTTTTTTTTTTTACTGTACCTTTTTAAGGAAAATTGAAAAGAACTGATCATTTATTGGTTCATTTATTCTGATTGAACTTAGGAAGGTGAGCATGTTAAGCATGAGCTACCATGAGCCTCTACTCTGTATCGCAGCCCATGAATCTGTTTGTTGAGTACCCTGCTGTACCCTGAGAAGACTTACATTTTGAAGCAGACTGACTGAACAAGTATATAACTAAAACAGTATGGCTTTAGACATTGCTGAATATGAAAAATGACTGTAGTTGTATCAATGATGACTACCCAAGGACATTACATCTTTCTTCAAGAAACAAATATTACCCTGAGAAAGAATTTTTCCATTATGGAAGTGTTTATTATTTCCTACTTCTCATCTACTTCCTAATTTTCTTAATTTTATGTCTAGTATCTCAGGTCTTAGATTAGTAAAAGCTTTTTAGAGGTGGCTCAGTCTTATTAATATGTAATTTTTCATTTCATAGTGTAGCATTTAGGGATTAGAGACTAATGCAACTTGATGATTTTATCAGCCAGTGGCTACTTCTGAATTATTTCTCCCACATACACAGAATGTGCACAGCTTTTCCATTAGAAAATAAGTGTTTTCTTTTTTTGACATTTGTCTTTTTAAATTTTTAAAGGCATATTTAAAATGACTGCTGGGGCTGGGGATTTAGCTCAATGGCATAAGCACTTGCCTGGCAAGCACAAGGTCATGAGTTCAATTCTCCATACTCATTTAAAAAAAGGAAAATAAAATGACTCTGCTTACTGTATACTTTGCTCCTGAAGAAATGAAAGTAGCGGGGGATGCAGCTCAGCAGCCCAGCGCCTGCTTGACAAGTGCGAGGCCGTGAATTCAATCCCTGGTACAAAAAAAAGAAAAAGAAAAAGAAAAGAAAGAAACGAAAGTGAAAATAATCTTAAATATATTTTCATAATACACAATAAAATGCATACTAAGTAAAATCTTTAACAAATTGTGTATATTCTTAACATTTTCATTAGTCTTTAGATAAAGTAATAATGGAGATGAGTACATGTGAAGAACCTCGGGCCCCTAATGGCCCATCGCCAATTGCAACTGCGTCAGGACAAAGGTAAGTCATTTCTGTCGCTCCATGTGACTGTCAGAGGACGGTTTTTGTTTTTGTTTTGTTTTAGCTGTTACCTGCAGTGATAGGACATAAAGAAAATTAAATCTTTTAACTTCAGTGTCCTCCATCAGACATTTTACAGGTTTAGTTGTATACATTATAAAAATACCAGAGACTGTTAGATTTCTTTCATTCACCTTGATTTCTTTACTATTAGGTAGTAATGACTAATCAAATAATAATTAACCACGGTAGCAGCAGAAAATGAAAGTGGAAAAGCTTAGGCATTCTATAAATTGGTTAATCTCTTAGTTTCTGAATACAGTAGTTGTCTGTTAACTGTTGCTTCACTTTCCGTGGCTTCAGTTAAATGTGATCAACCACATCTCAAAAATATTACATAGAAAATTCCAAAAATGAACAATTGATTAAATTTAAATTTCATGATATGAGTAGCATGAAACTTTGAGTTATCCAACCAGAGTTGGGATCATGCTTTTGTTCAGTGTGTCTGCAACTATAGGCTACCTGCCCTTCAGTCACAGAGTAGCTGTCTGAGTTATCAGATTGACCATCCAGGTATCACATTACTAGGTCCAAGTAAACTTTGCAAAGAGTGATGTAAACACTGAGTCACCATACCTAAGTTACCTGCCTCGATCTGATCATGTAGGCGTTGTGTCATATTACATTATAAAAAAAAAGGATGAGTACATTAGAGGAAGATATTATTCTATTTTAATATTGTTAATATGAAGTGGGTTCAAAAATATAATTTTTAAAAATTATTACAGTAAGACACATTAATCTCCCACAAAATACTCACTGTGAACACAGTTGTCGTTCTTTCTACTTTTTAAAGTAGTTCTGGAAGTTCTCTTTGTGTTGGTATCTTCAATTATGCTGCTCTGTCAGCCTTGATGTCCTGAACTAATTCAGAACAATTACCTTTTATGATGATTTTGCATTAGGGAAGAGCCAAAAAGTTGCACAGTGCAGGATCTGATGAATAAGGTGGACAAGGACACACCTTAATGTTTTTACAAACCTGCCTGCCTACTTGTCTTCCTTCTTTCCTCCTTTATTCCTTCCTTCCTTGTTTTGTTTTGTTTTTTGAGACAGAGTCTTGCTAGTCCAAGCTGGCCCCGAACTCATGGCAGTGCTCCTGCCATAGCCTCCTGAGTGCTGGGATTACAGGTGTGCACCACCATGCTCAGCAAAGTCTGCCTTTCTGTTGGATGGCACTTGACAGCAGCATTGACCATGTTTTTGATCACACCTCATAAAGACACCTGCAATTCACGTTTCTGGTTGCACTTAATGACATGATGGGGAAGTGTAGGCTTCAGTCACTGGCTCAGTTTCCTCTAAAAAACATGTTCTCCAGAATGACTGAAATACTCATTTATTTTTGGTGCTGGGTACTGAACGGCATGCTGGGCATGCGCTCTTTTTTTTTTTTTTTTTTTTTGGTCTTTTTCGTTTTTATCGGTACCAGGAATCGACCTCACGACTGGCTGCTTGCAAGGCAGGCGCTTATGCCGCTGAGCTAAATCCCCAGCCCCTTAAAGAAGTTTTTTTTTTTTTTTTTTTTTTTGGTCTTTTTCTTTTTTTTTTTTTTAATCGGTACCAGGGATCAAACCCACGACTGCCTGCTTGCAAGGCAGGCGCTTATGCCACTGAGCTAAATCCCCAGCCCTGGGCATGCGCTCTTACTGAGCTTCATACACTCCCAGCCACAGCTGGGTGCATTTAAAATATTCCAACCTAGGCTGGTGGTGTACCAGTGAGAGGGCACATGGTTGGCATATGTAAAGATTCTGAGTTCAATCCCTAGTGTACACTCACACACACACCCAAATATGGTTGGTTTTTTCCAAGAGATTCTCACATAATTATTGTAGCAATATTCTTCTCAACTCCAGGAATATTTCTATCTTAAGTAATGAGTGTTTGTTCTTGGGATAAAAGCTGCTCTATTCTAGGATGCTGATGAGCTCTTGCCTTTTATTTCTCAGTTTTCTAAACATTAAGTAACTGGCCACTTTGTTTTATAACAAAGTTAACTAAGCAAACAAATTTATAAATTACTATACACGTATCATTTCACTTAAGGATAACGGCAACTTTTTTTTTTTGTCTTTTTCTTTTTTTTTTTTATCGGTACCAGGGTTTGAACTCACGACCACATACTTGCAAGGCAGGTGCTTATGCTGCTGAGCTAAATCCCCAGCACCTACGGCAATTTTTTGAGGCAGATATTATTATACATGAATAAATTGAGGCTCAGAGACTTTCAATAATTTAGTAATAAATTATTACTTTTAATGATGGTTGTATTCTATAAGGTATTATGAGCTGATAGTCTATTTGGTTAGACACTATTTCATGTAGTTTACATATAAAGTATTGCCTTATTTAAAAGGTGAGTCATCTAGTCAGGCACATTGAGGCAGGTGCACACCTGTAGTCTCAGCTACTCAGTGGCTGAGGCAGAAGGATCATTTGAGCCCACAAATTTGAGAACAGCCTGAGAAACATAATTAGACCCCATTTCAGAAAGAAAAAGAAAGGTAAGAGTCTCTGCTATTTGTAAACTAAAGAACAATAAGAACAACAAAATTGAGTTATCTGAGGCTTAGAAATTTAATTTATTCATGAACACAGTAGATGAGAAGAAAAGAGCAGGTAAGGGGAGGGGTGTGGATGACAGGTGCACGTTCAGGTGTGTCAAGAGAGGAACTCAGAGGGAGGCCTCCGGCCGACATCTGGATTTTACTGTCTGAAGTCCCAGCCGGAGATCTGGATAGAGCCAGAAGTGTATAAATGATGGGCATATTGGTGGGAACAGAAGTCGGGCGCCATCTGGGCAGACTTCTTCCTGCCTGCCTGCCAGTGTGTGCCCCCAAAGTGTGAGCGCTGCTTTCCTCCCTCGCCGTGCGTTTGCTCGTGCTTTCCCCCACTGTAAGATTTCCCCGTCTTTGCCCTCCTTTCTGTGGAAAAATATATATCTTCCTAATAAAGCAGTTTTTCCCTCGCATCAAGAATTCTGTTGGTTCCTTTTTAAAAGTTCTTCATTACAGATTCCCTCAGCTTACAGTTACCAGGAGATATATATATATATATATATATATATATATATATATATATATATAACATATATATATATATTTTTGTTTTTGTTTTTTTTTAAATTTTAAGGAGAAAAAGAAAAAAAAAGCAGAGAAAGGGTACAAGTTATACAGATTTACAGAAAAAAAAACAATAGGAAATCACTAGTTAATGGATTACATTTTGTCATCTTAGAAATAATTGTTCAAGTTGCAAAATTAAAGCTTATAAAGTGGACATTCCAACAGTGAGACTGCAAACAGTTCTGTTCAATGATCCAACAAAACTCAGTAATATCATTATCTATCTTATACACTTAAATGTACATGCAGTTATATCGTTTAGAACACTTTCTTTTCCTCTCTTTTGTACAATGACAATTACACATTTTGGGTTTTGTTGCTCCCACAGTTCTTATTACTTTTTTGGAAGAGAGTAGAACCAAATGTGACATAACAGAACAGTCAGTCAAATCAAAAGGGTGGATGTAATAGATAATGTAAAAGCATAATCCTAGGTGATCAACAATGGTTACCATAATGCCTCCCGCTATCTCTAATAGAATTGCCTATATCATTAGTTATAATAAAATTGAACAAAACAGTAAAGAACAAAACCAACAAAACCAAAACATTGGAGACATTATAGGTCTTCAAAAGTAGATAAATATATATATATATTTTTTCTCTCCCCAAATAACTTGTGAGTCCTATAATGCTACCACCAAAGTTTGGTTTTCTTCATGTCTTAGTATTTTAATATGGTTTGAATTGAATTAGAGAATGTGAATTTTTTTGTTTTTCAATTATGACATGGACTTTTTAACCTTCTTTGTATTAAAATTTACCTTTGTTATTTGCTTCAAAGCAGACAGGCTTTTTGAGGGTAAACAACTGTGGATATTGGTTTAAATAGAGACTAACTTCTAATTTTTTAAATCTTTCACAATTTGAGACCTTTTCAGGGGGGAGCATTTCAGAGTATTGAACCCAGGGGCTCCCACATGGTAGGCAAGTGCTCCACCACTGAGCGCATCTTTAGCCTTTTTAATTTTATGATTTGAGATGATGCTTCTAGTTACCCAGGCTGGCCTTGAATTTGTGACTGCTGCCTCAGTTCTCCCAATTCCTGGGATTACAGGTGTGAGCTACTACACCAAAGAAGGACATTTTTGGGAATTACTGTATAACCAGTCTAGATTATCATTTCAACAAATTTGTACTAAAAGTAATAAAATACTAAAGCAGTTTATATGTACACTTGGGAGAATGTTAACCAATAACTTTTTCTCTTAATTTTTTTGTTGGCTTTAGTACATTGTATTTTGTTTTGCTTTGTTTTTTCAGTGAATATGGCTTTGCTGAAAAAGTAGTAGAGGGAATTACCGTTTCTGTAAATTCTATTGTCATCAGAATTGGAGCAAAAGCTTTCAATGCATCTTTTGAACTTTCTCAGCTGCGGATCTACAGTGTCAATGCCAACTGGGCACATGGAGATTTAAGGTTTACTCGTATTCAGGATCCACAGAGAGGAGAAGTAAGAGTTTTTTACTTTTTAAAGCTTTAGCGGTAAATAAAACAAAGATGTTTAAAACAATTATATCTTTTGGCCGGTTGGATTCACATTGCATAGGTTTCCACACCTTGCCTTATAAATATGCTTTTCTCAGTTACGCTTAGTCATTTAAGTATATGCTTTTACTTTATTAAATCTTTCATCTTATAGCATTAATGTTCTTTGTTTTAACTTCTCAGCTACTTAATTGAATTTTAAATTTATAAACTAAAATATATTATTTAAAGCGTTTTGGTCACATGACCCAAGTGTTTTTAATACTGTATGTGAAATTTATTAGAATGAAATATTACCAGTTTGAAAAGTGATGAATTAATATAATTGATTTTTTGATGACTATAACTGTTAAGCTGTGTTACTGAAGCTGATGGAAGTTTTAAAATTAAAAGCTGCACGATGAATGTTTCTACAGAGGCATGAAAGTTAGTTGAGATGATAGTTTTTATTTTTATAAATCTACATTTTTATCACTTTACATGAATATGTGATGCTAATTTCCATGTTCTCTTAGGTTCTGACATTTAAAGAAATAAATTGGCAGATGATTCGGATAGAGGCAGACGCTACCCAAAGTTCACATCTTGAAATTATGAGTGCTCCTGTTCGATTAATAACCAACCAATCAAAAATCAGAGTCACGCTTAAAAGAAGAGTAAGTCAGTCTTAACTTTTTCATTCATTTGTTAGCCATTAGAATTGCTAAGAAATTTTAGATAACTTTTTAGGTAAAATATTAGTATATTGTGAATGGCATATTATAACAATATAAAATAAAAGGAAATTAATTTCAAGCAATATTTGTAGAAAGCTAATATAAATATGATTCTTCTACTTATCTGATTTAATGTTTACATTTTCAAAAGTTTTTATTTGAAGATAAACTGAGATTCCTTAGTTTCCCAATACTTAATGAACCTTTACTGTGTTACGATTTCATTTCTGGGGCAGGGAGAGTAGCTCAGTGCTAAATGTATGGCTAGCATGTGCAAGCCCCTTGATTCAGTCCCCAGCCCTGCCCCAAAAGCCCCCAAAACAAACTCAGAAGAAAAATAATTTCATTTCTCCTTTGAACCTTGCTTAGGAATAAGTAAACAGCATAGCCTCCATAATTAATAATCCAAATCCTTAGCATTAGTAAGTAATTTAAATATGACTGGTAAATTAGTTAAATTGGAATGATGTTGAAGGTATTAGAACTTGAGGTTCACTGTGGCTTTGATGAAGTTTAATGAGGAAGTGCTGATAATTTTACCATGGATCAGCTAAAGACTCAACAGAAAGCTTTTTGTGTTACTAGGTACAAATAACTATTAAATTGAAAAGAAATTTTTTTTGTTTATGGTGTTTAATGTAGGCCTCCTGAAATGTGGCTAAAGGAGCATTTTTAGGTTTTAATTTCAGTGCCTTTTTCTCTGCCAGAATTGGTTAAATTAATATGGGTAATTTTATTGTCAACTAATTGGTTAAATTAATATGGGTAATTTTATTGTCAATGGGAAATTATATAAGTGCTGTATAACTTGTAAGGTACAGGACTTGTCAATTTTGTATTACTACTGTTATCTGAGTATTAGGAGATAATCTTTCTCTGTTATAGAAATTCAATAAATATTTGTTGACTGAAAGTATCCTTATTGGGGCTGGAGGTTTAGCTCAGCGGCATAAGCGCCTACCTTGGAAGCAGGCAGTCGTGAGTTCGATCCCTGGTACCAAAAAAAAAAAGAAAGTATCCTTATTTAATTCTATTAAGATGCTTTAGGTTTTTATATAAATACAAGTGCATTATAATTCTTGACACAATTACTATAACCCATTTTTTCTGACAGTTGAAGGACTGCAATGTCGTAGCAACAAAGTTAGTTCTGATATTGGATGACTTATTATGGGTTTTAACGGATTCACAGTTGAAAGCTATGGTACAGTATGCAAAATCTCTAAGTGAAGCCATAGAAAAATCAACAGAACAAAGGAAGAGTATGGCTCCTGAACCCACACAGGTACGCTATAAGGAAGAGAAAAGAGACTTACGTTTTGGGTAGATAGTTTAAAAACCAGAGGGATTAGTTGTTTTCTTTATGTGAAATTGATTGTAAGACTGAGACCAAAACTTTTCTTTATCTAGGTATCTTACCATATAATTATACATATTTGATGTCTATATGAAAAAATTACATATATTACTGCATATCAATATAGTGTTCATTTTGTTTGGAGTTCTGTACTAAGGATTAGTTATTGATAATATAAAAGTATTTGTTGTTATAATACATCTTTACAGGAAGCTAAAATATACAATTAAAAAAAAATTTTTTTTTAAAAAAATTCTGGAATCAAACTCAGGACCTTGTGCTTACCAGGCAGGCACTGATTGCACTGAGCTATATCACCGGCCCTAAAAAATTCTAAAGTAAAATAAAATGTGAATAACACCTAAATAATTATTGGCAAGAGAAGGCATATTGACAATTGATGCAGAGAACTAAAACCAAAGGGAACTGCTGAAATTGAAAACAACTTTAGCTAAGAGTTTTCTAGTGGCTGGGGCAAAAAACGGGGAAACAATGAGCAGTTACCACTTTCTTAAAATCAGAAGTATTGCTGGTTTGTCTAAAAAGAAATTTGCTGTTCTTTCTCAGTTTTAATTTCTTAGCGCTAATATATGAAGATCTTTGTAGAAGGAACATGGAAAACCATAATTGGTCTTTGATAATTTTATTGAAAATACAAGTAAATTTGTTATATCTGGGTCTAATAAAAACTTATTGTATATTGTGAAATCATACTTTAGTGAAGCTTTTTTTGGAAACAATAATCATCTCAGGTGCACAGCATGTTTTGATCTGTCTGGCTTGGAACACACAGTAGCATACATTGTAGGTTTTTCACAGTGATCACTGGCTTTCACTGGCGTTGTTCACTGCCAGCCTGTTATGTCATAAGGCACAGAGATACACGTTTTAATGTAAAAATAAGTATCATCTGCCCATTGTTAGGTACCTCAGAATGTAATGGAAAATGAAATATAAAACAAGTATTATAGTTCAGTGTAAATGTAGGAGTAAAGAAATAAAGGAGGGGAGGTACAGGAGCTGTAGATGCACAGAAAAGTTTTAATTGGTTATACAATCTGGAAACGAGATTGCGACTTAAAAATGAGTAACACTTTATAAGCAGTCATAAAAGAATGGATTTTAGGAGAAATGGAATTTGCAAAAGATGGTGTTAAAGAATATGGGAATTTTTGGATAAAGATGAGGTTTGGTGTTAGGGTGATATATTACAACTTTCAAGTTTTATGCTTTAAATAGAGCAAGTTCCAGTTTGATAGGTGTCTTTTCTTAAACTTGATCTGAGAATGTACAGTGCCTTAAGGTGGCACATGGGTCCTTCTTCCCATAATGCTCTTATTCCACCTTACAAGCCAAAGACATTCTTCCTACTCATCGTTAGTCTATAATGGATTTGTCTGGGAGCGTACACATTCTGGGAATAAGACAGGCAGTTTGAAGTAAGGTTGTTCATGTTGGAAATTAATGATTAATGACAATAGCAAGTCAAGTGATTTCCATTTCTTTGTTTTGAACATATCTGAAGGAGAATCTAATAATTATCAGCAGCTAGAGTGTTAGAAATAATGTTATATAATAGGCTACATTGTGAGTCCTAGCATGCAACTTGCAGCAGTTTTGAAGAACTAAGTCACATTGCTTAACAAAAAAGTCCTGTCTTTGCATCTACCTATTAATGTGAACAAGGTTTTCCTGGGCTTATTGTCATGAAAACAATACCTATTATAGTTGAACTGAATCTCCTATGAAAAAGGAGGACTATTTTAGCATTAGTGATATGGTGGATGTATTAGTCTGTTAAGGCTTTGAAAGTAGAAAACACGTGGGAAAGTAATGTTTCTGATGGAATCAGTTAAATAGTTAATTAGGAAGTTTTGTTTAAGTCCCAAGAACTTAAAAAGTCTTGTGGTTTATTCCATTTTCCCATTTTTTAAACTCCTTTAGGTGCTGTTCTTTTTCACTGATTGTAAATATACTTTACAATACATTTACAGTATGGTTGAAGTTCTTACTAGCTATAGTATGAGAAAACATACCTACACAAAGTACATATACTTTGGTTCCCATAAATATATTTTATTACTCTATTGCCCTAACTTTGAAAATTGCTAATTTTTTTAAGTAGAAGATTTGATCTTCAGTTTTTACATTTTATTTATTTATTTGTTTGTTTGTTTTTTGAGGCAGGGTCTCACTATGTATTTCATGCTGGCCAGATTGGGCTACATAGTGAGTTCACAGTAATCTTCCTGCCTCAGCCTCCCGAGTCCTGGGATTACAGGCATGCACCATCATACCCATCCATTTTGATAATTATTACAAGAGTTGCAGGTTCAGTTTTGTGGCTGTTATGTCTTTATCTTACAACATACTGATGTATATATGCAGGAAAATACTTACGTAATCAACTTAGGTTATTGGAGGTTCATCTGTGTCTTTACACTTCAACAATATGCTATGCTTTTTCTTTCTTGGGAGAAAAAATTTAAACTAAAACCTACTTATTTCTTCTGCTTTTTGATTTCTTCAGCTATCTAAATTCAGAGGATACATCTCTTTTGAGAATTAATAGACCACCTACAGAATTAAATTAATGAGATGTCATAGTGTATACAGGGCTTACAGTATTTTCTTTTTAATATTTAGAACTAATATTTAGATAAGCTGCCTTTAATATGACTATGCAGGTGTTTACTGAAAGATCAAGTTCACATTCAAATTGGATAGAATATCCAGTTTTAAAGTTTTAGATTTATTGTATCATTCAGGAAATATTTTAGAGAAAAGCTGGTTTATTGATAAAAAAGAAAATGTGTTTGCTAGTTTTTGTGACTTTATTACTAAAAACATTTAAGTGTGCTTGTGTGTGAAAGTTCACATGTGTAACCTGGAGGGATAACGAGGTTTTGGGTGTTTCAGAGCTCCACAGTCACTGCTGCTACCCAGCAAGTGAAGACACCACAGACCTCAAATGCTCCTGATCTGAACGATGCAATTGTGAAACTATTCAACGACTTCGATGTGAAGGAAACCTCTCATCACTTGGTGATTTCTCATCTGGATCTACACATATGTGATGATATTCATGCAAAGGAAAAAGGTATTAAGGGCTTATTTTAAATCATTTTGACTTTTCCAGAATTGCCTACAAAACTGAATTATTTATGTTACTATATACAATATTCTACAAGATAACTTACAGTAATTTTTTTCTTTCGTATGAATACATATAAAGAATTTATAATTTGAAGCGTTATGTATTGGTATAAAATTTTATTTTGCTGAAGTAATTAGCACTTACGCTTATTAGCTAATTGTTACCCATGAGTGCTAACATTATAATTAAGTTTTAAAAAACACTCAAAGACAGTAGCTTGAGATGTGGCTCAGTAGCAGCGTGCTTGCTGCATGTGTGCCAAGTTCTGGGTTCGATCCTCAGCGCTCTAAAAAATAAAGAGGCACAGACTAAGTAGATGACACTTCGAGATGAAATATTAGACTTGCCTTTGAATTAATTTTTTCAAAATGTGAAAATTGTTCCTAAATTTTAGCCTTGACTCTTCCTAATTATTTTTGTGTGTTTAGCATCATGGTTAATCTGTGTATTTCTGGATCCATGAATACATAAACACAGCTAAGGGGCTATTTAACATTGGTTTTCCCTGACTCTTCCTCTGAAAATTTGGTTAGGAGGCTGAGTTCCAGCTTGAAATTTTTTTCTTTTAATTTTTGTTCCTCTTACTTATCTTTTCTTGATAGTCTTAGATTATCAGGCTAACCAGGTAGCTATTCTTTCTTTTCTTTTTTCTTTTTTTTTTTTTTTTTTATTAGTACTGGGGATCGAACTCACGACCATACACTTGCAAGGCAGGCGCTTATGCCGCTGAGCTAAATCCCCAGACCCAGGGTAGCTATTCTTGATTACTTTAAAAGTCTGTGGCTCCAAAACAGATGATGCAGAAACAACGCCAGGCACATTCAGTTGTCTGATCTTTGACAAAGGGGTCAGATACACACTGGAAGGAAGGTAGCCTCTTTAATTAATGGCACTGAGAAAACTGGCTTTCCACATGCCAAAGATTGAATCTGGACCCTTAGCTCCCACCATGTACTAAACTGAAGTCAGAGTCTGTTAAAACAGAAGCAATTGCTGAAAGATGAAACAGGTAAAACTCTTGAAGACATAGGCATAAGCAAGGGCTTTCTGAATAGAAACCTGGTTGCACAGATTAGAAAGCTCTGCACAGCAAAAGAAGTAACCAACAGAGTGAGGAGACAACCTACAGTCTGAGAAGAATTTTTGCCAGGTATTCCTTAGACAGAGGGCTAATATTAGAATATATAAAGAACTAAGAAATTAGATCCTCCAAATAAAAGACTCAATGAAATAATGGGTAACTGCAATGAATAGACATTTCTTAGAAGAAATTGTACAGATGGCCAATAAGTACATGAAAAAATGTTCAACATCTCTGTCCATTAAAGAAGTGCAAATTAAAATAACACTGAAATTCTGTCTTACTTCATAAAGGATAGCCATCAAGAAATCAAATAAAATAATAGCTAGATGTGGTGGGGCATGCCTATAATCCCAGCACTCTTGAGGCTGAAGCAGGAGGATCCAGAAGGATTGCTGTGAATTCAGGGCCAGCCTGGAGTACATAGTGTGACCTTATCTTTAAAAAAACAAAACAAAATAAGACAAAACCAAAATCAAATAACAGCAAATGCTGGTGAGCCTGCGGTGGGGAGAGGAACCCTTTTACATTGTTGGTGGGAATCTAAATGGTACACTATGGAGATTTCTCTAAAACCTAAAACAGGAAATCCATTCGACCCAACCGTTCCCCTTCTAGGTATGTTCCTAAAAGAGTGAAAGATACTACATTGTGGTGATCCATGCGTACCTGTGAGTATAGCAGCACAGTACTTAACAGTTAAATCTTTGATTCAGCTTGTATGTCCATCAACAGGTAAAAGGGTAAAAAGACCATAGTGGTGAGTGAAATAAAGGCTGACACAGAGGCTCAAATATTCCCTAATTCCCTTATTTGAGAAACCCAAAATATAAATAAAAAGCAACGTAAGAGATAAAGGGAATAGAGAAATGGATGTTTTGCAAGAGGGAAGAGAATCCAGAGATGCGGATGTGGGCAGCGACTGGAGGGAAAGGCGGTGAAGAAGGAATTAAGGTACGTTAGGTTCATGTAGCAAGGCCCACAGCGAATGTCAGCAGTGTGCTCTGCAAACGCGGACTCAGAAGAGTAAACATTCACGATAAAAACTCAGCTTCTGAGCTACAGCTAAAGAGGAACGTACTAAATTTGACAATGAGACTGAACAAGTCTCATAGATTTTAAGATGGTAAGTAAATAAAGGGCTAGAAATAAAGAGAAGTTGGAGTACAGAGAAAAAACCCAACCAAACAAAAACACCTCAGTGTTGTACCCCTAAGTGCTGGGCGTTTCTGGGCCTGCACCGGAGCACAGCTGCGGTGTGTGTGGCGAGGGAGTTGCAGGGCCGGCTGACCTAAGGACGTTAGTGCACTTCAGAGTCCAGCTGGAATTAGGATCTCAGAAGAGCAGAGATGTTTGACCTGTGTACCTTAGACCTAGTCAGAATCTACGCATATCCATAAGAGTTACTGCTTTGAGCTGTCTTTAAAGCTGAGAGAGTGAACAGCGAGTCCTCAACCTTAGCAGTAGAAGGGACCCTGCCCTCATCAGACAGCAGCCAGGAATCCACTGCCAGGCAGGGCGGAGGACAAAGGTGGAAATCGGGGCTTTGCAGAGGGATGTGCTCTTTTCTTTGATTCGCTTCTGTGTCATTTGACCAGAGTTCTGTTCTTCTGCTTTAGTGGTATAACCCAAAAGTTACACCAAGTGTGTTTATGTCGAGAGTATTTTCTGATTCCCTTTGCACTCCTCACAGTTTATTATTTCCTCATGGTATAGCTGGATGATTTTACTTAGGGAAATCCTGTCTACCAAAGGACCTCCCACATTGGGGTGGTTTGTAGTCAGGTCTGCTCTTCTGAAATAGAAAAAGTTGTGAAATGGTTTCCCAAGTTTGTGAAAAACTCATGTGGTAGCAAAATTGTCTTATTGTCTTCTTTTGCCTAGGTAGTATAAATATTTCCACATTTTGCTGCAGAGTAACTATGTTTTATTACTTAGTACTGCCTCAGAAACTGCTTGGATTTAATATACTTTATATACACCATAATAATTTCATTCAGCCTGAAACATTCCAAATTTTGAGAGATTTTAGATAACAGTTGTAGATAAATTGGAATTAACAAATTAATATAGGAGTGTATACATAGCTATGCCTTAGTTTGTATTTACCTCAATTAACTTGCCAAGGCTGTTTTCAAGTTCAATTTTTATGTTTTAGTTAAGCTGATTTATGATTTACCTTTGACCTTAGCCATATTTGCGTAACTGTAAACCATTTACCTAAGCAAGTAGATGCAATGTGCTCTTTGGTAAGAGGCAGGATGATGTAGTGAAGGGGTTAAGAATTTCTTTAAATGCACTTAAATAGCTTTTGTTTGTGTTTTTTGAGACAGGGTCTTGCTGTGTTGTTCAGTCTGTCCTTGAACTCACTGTGTAGTCCAAGCTGGTCTCAATCTGTGAGGCTATCTTCCTGCCTCAGCCTCCCAAGTACTGGGATTACAGACATGCGCCACTATACCTCGCTTTAAGTAGCTTTATGATTATGGTCCCTTGCTCTCTTTATTCCTCAATTTCCTTATCTAGAAATTTGGTGTAATAATAATAATATCTTCTTCATCAGACTATTAAGAAATGAAATGAGTGAGTATTGAATATGATGCCTGGCACATGGTTAGGGTTTGTAAAAGTTCTGCTTACTGTTGTCTGTAGGCTCTCAGAGGACTTAGGTACAGTTTTTTTTTCTTTTTTCTTCTAGTCTAGTGCGTAGCAAATGTTAGGGACTCAGGAAGTACTTATTAGGTTGAATTCCTTTTCCTGAAATCCTGATGTATTATCTGTAATAAGAGATAGTTACTACTACTTGAGCTCTAATTGTGATAAATATTTTTATAATAAATTGGGTGTTTTTGATGTGTAATTTTTGTTTCCCTCAATTCCATGTTTTTCTTTTCCTAGAGTCAAACAGACGTATCACTGGAGGTGCTATGCAACTCTCTTTTACATACCTAACCATAGATTATTATCCTTATCATAAAGCAGGTGTGTATAACCATTCTTTAAAATATGCAAATCTTCCTTAAAGTTTTATAGCCAATTTTTAATTGTTTATTTTAATTTAATTTAACAAGGGAAAAGATCAAGAGATCTTTACTGTTTTTTTTCTTGGTCTTTGTTTTCTTCTTTAAACCAAAAAAATAGAATTGCCATAGAAAATAGTCATACATTTTCTATGGATGTTCATGTAGATTATTAGAAACTTTGTTAGAAATTGACAGTTTTCTAAATAACTGGTTAAGAATTCTAAAAATTAGAATATAGCAGACCTCTGTTTGTGCTGTTTTGTTACAAAAGCAAATTGTTAGTTGTTTTGGACATTTAAATGATGTAATATATGTTATATGTGTGATTTAGGGACCTTTTTTTAGTTTTCTGTATTCTCTAAATTTTATCAATAAGTAAACAATATTTGCTTTAATTATCAAGAATTGATAAGTTCTTTTTTCCCAACTAATAAAATAGTATGATTATTTATAGCTAACTTAAGGATTTAAGCTTAGCACCTGTCTTTGCCTTTTGTAGCACACAACCTATTTTTATGATTTACTCAGGAACAAAAATCAAAAAGTTTTGGTCAGGTTTCTGAAACTTGAATGCTTATATTCATGTTTCCAGCTACCAGTGTTCATCATTTCTCTCTCAGTCACTGACAGAATTTGCAGGCAGTAAATTGTTTTAATTTTAATTTAATTTTAAATTCTTTTTTTTTTTTGGTGGTACTGGGGATTGAACTCATGACCTCGCGCTTGCCAGGCAGGTGCTTATGCCACTGAGCTAAATCCCCAGCCCTAATTTTAAATTCTTTTAGTTTTAATTTTGTTTTTTGTTTTTTGAGATGGTGTCTCATTAAGCACTCAGGCAGCCCCAGAAATCACAGTGTAGCTCAGAACTGGCCTCAAACTTAGAGTGATCCTCCCGCCTCAGCCTCCTGAGTGTTGGGATTAAAGGCATGTGCCACCATGCTCAGTTTGGTTTTCCTTTGAAGTGCTTTATTTTATATCCTGTCATGATTAGTAAGTTAGTTACATATCTCTAAAGTATTTCTAAAAAAATTTTTGTCTTTTTGAGATGGCTTCACTATACAGTTGAGGCTGGCCTAGCCCAGGCTGGCCTCGAACTCACAGCAGCACAGCAGTCCTCTTGCCTCAGCCTGCCAAGTGCTGCGATTACATGCGTGTGTCACCATACCTGCACATACACTTAAAATAAAATTTTAAACTGTAGAAACTGTTAATACTTTAGATAGTGCTTTCATTTATGGAGAGAATGTTATCTCCTCCCTCCTTTTCTTCCTTCCTTTTCTGTAGTGTTGGAGTCAAACTCAGGGATGTTACACTAAGCTATTTTCCCAGCACTTTTTAAATTTTTCATTTTGAAACAGTCTTGTTAAGTCACTAAGTTGCTCAGGGTGGGTTCCAATTTGCAGTACTCCTGCCTCAGCTTTCCGGGGTACTGGGAGTACACATGTGTGCCATCACTCCCAGCTGGATTTAGTTTCTTTACCTTTTTATGTTTGTGTTTCTTTTCTTAGTTATAAAGAAACCTAATAATCTTGATTTTGTATTTTCCTCCCCAAAGCTTACATATCTCTTTATAACTGATGTCTATGTTGGGAAGCTCTATTGGTTTCTTTCTTTCTTTTTTTTTTTTTTTTTTTTTGTCTTTTTCCTTCTTATCAGTACCGGGGATCGAACTCATGACTGCCTGCTTGCAAGGCAGGCGCTTATGCCGCTGAGCTAAATCCCCAGCCCCAGTTTCTTAAGTTGATTAAAAAGTAATTATCTTATCAATTTTATGCAGTACATTATTGTTAGCACATGATAACAAATTATTGATGAAAATAAATTTTTGTAGATAGTGTTTTGGGGATTCTCTCCAGTGGATGTTTACTAGGCGACGAGCACCAGAAGATTTTTGACCAGTCCTGTCACTTGGAATTGAAACTTTGAACAGCTTTTTTTTTTTTCTTTTTTTACCTCCATTGATTCTCAGTAGAAATTCCTTCAGATTGTTTCCTTGTAGCAATTCTTTCTTTTAGAGAAGTAGGAGAGAATGGCTGTACTTGTTTTGGGTGATTAAAGACTACCTTGAGAAAGTGACTAAAATTCATTAGGAGCATTGATATGATAGAATAAATGCAACCTGCATTTTTAGTGAAAAGGCTGTTACTCATTTTACAGGAGATAGTTGTAATCATTGGATGTATTTTAGTGATGCAACCAAAACGAAAACTGGATGGGCCAATGAGTTGTTGCATGAATTTGAGTGCAACGTGGAAATGCTTAAGCAGGCTGTGAAGGATCATAATGTAGGCTCACCTCCTAAATCCCCGACACATGCCTCTCCCCAGCACACACAAGCAGGTATTTGATGGCATTCCTCTAATGGTGTATATGTGTGTGTGTGTGTGTGTGTGTGTGTGTGCGCGCGTGCGTGCACGTGCGTGTGTGCATATGTATTATGTTTCTTGTAAATAACGCAAGATATCTTGCAACTTTCATTTAGACCAATTTAGGCCTATAGAGCAAAGCACTTTTAATATAACCAGTAAGAGAAAGAATGGGTGGAAATTTTCAGATTCTTAACTGACTAGTATGTCTCTTTATTTTTAACCCTGTAGAGGAGTGACTCAGATAATGCAAGTACAATTCCAGTGAGAATGAATAATCACAAAACCTATGTTCCTGTGTCACTTTGTAAAGAATTTTTACATATTGCCATGTTTGAGAAGTTAGTGTTCGTTTATATTTCTGTAGCTCTCTTAATAAGAAAGTGACTATTAACAAGAATTCTGTAATAAACTAAAAAGAGTTTTGGTTCCCACAGAGAAGGAGTCTGCTCTGAAAGGGACCTCCAGAGTGTCTACGGTGTTACCGCAACAATCAAAAGCTAAGCTGATGTCGAGTTCTGTTGTGGTTAGGCTTGCAGATTTCAATATATACCAGGTGTGTTTTATTTTTTAATCTAAGTTTTATACTTTCAGTATCTCATACAAGCTACTGTAATAACTAACCCATTTTATTTAAAAATATCTTGACCAGTTTTGTGAAAAGACCAAATTAAATGGGATAGAAAATACTAGTTCTTATTTTTTGTTTTTGTGGTTTTCCACATAAACAAAATTAGCCAAATGCTGAAGTCAACAGGAGGTGCTTCAGACTGCCAGCCCTGTCCAAGACTTGTGATACCAATTACAAGTTCACTTTTAAGGATTTTCAAAACTTACTTCCAGGTTCAATAATTTACCAAAAGGCTCACAGAACTCACTGAAATCTTCGTACTCGTCACTTTATTATAGGGAAGGACATAAAGTAGGACCAGCTATAAGAAGAGCTACGTCGGCAGTCTCGAAGGTTCCATGTTTGAAACTTACTTGTCCTGGGAACATGTTAGTGTGTCCCAGTACGGGTGGATTTGTAACCGTGTACTTTGAGTATTGCCTGTGTGGTTAACCTCAGTCCTAAGACTGGTGGAGATGATGTCCCCTGATGTCCTCCTGGTGTGGCCTGTTCAGAGTGGCCAGCTCCGCCCAGGGTCATGTTGTTAGCAAGCTATCAGTTGCCAGTAAACAGAGGAGGTTGGAATTCTCAGTAATATATCAGGGCAGGGACAAAGGCCAGGACTGCTGGGAGATCAGACCTCTCCTCTCTTCACCTCACCTCTCCTTCCCCCTCTTTTCCTCCCTCCCTCTCCCCTCTCCACTGTTATAAAAATAACAGTGCTTCCTTCCCCTCTTTCCCTCCCCTATTCCCTTCCCCCTCTTTTTGGGACAGGATCTTGCTATGTCTATGTAGTTCAGCCTGTCCTTGCATGCACTGTATAGTCCAGGGTGACGTCTTCCTGCTTCAGCCTTGTGAGTGTGCTGGGATGACAGGTGTGCACCACCATGCCTGGCTTTAGAAACCAAACTTCTTAGTACATATGTAGTGGCTATTTGGAAGAAGCAGAGAGGCTTTTTTCACTTTCCTTAACTAGTAGGTACTGTATTGTCTACACCATGAACCTAATAACAAAGAACTGTGTCTCCCTTATACTAATACTTTTGTTTTTCTTTTTGGAAATAGGGTCTCACTGTGTAGTGCAGGGTGGCCTTGAACTTGGTTAAGTAGCCCAGACTGGACCCAAACTCATGGCGATCCTCTTGCCTCAGTGTCCCAAGTACTGAGATTATAGGTGTGTGCCACCATGCCTATACTAGTATTCAGATCATAAATCACTTAACATTGAACATCACAATCCTTGAGAAGAAAATATAGAATACTTGGCCTGTTTTTAAAAGTAGCAGTGGAGGGCTGGGAATTTAGTTCAGTGGCATAAGCACTTGCCTGACAAGTGCAAAGTCATGAGTTCAATCCCCAGCACACACACACACACAAAAAGCAATGGATAACGAAATGTATTTACACACAGTGGAGTACTACTCTACCATAAAGGATAGACTTGAGGCACTTGTAGGAAAATGAATGCATCTTGAGATCATACTGCTAACTGAAATAAACCAGATACACAAACTTAAATATCACAGTGTCTCTTCCATGAGAAATCAAAAAGATAAAGTACAAAATAAAAGATGCATGATAGGAAATTGGGAAGTAGATCTTCTGCAAAAGAGAGCCAGGCCAAGAGATGAAGGGAGCAGGAAGAGGGAGGTAGGAGGGGGAATAAAAACAGAGTAGGTGGTGATACTTACATGCACCAACCCTGCACAAGGGTCGTAACTGTAATGAGCTGCAAATGTACTAACAAAAAATAAAAATTGAAAAACATCAAAACATAAAAATAACAGTTTAGATGTTTATACCGTATAAGCAGACTTTATCTGTAAACTTTGTATTAACTCTGGTTTTCAGGGTCGGTTTCCCCCAGGGCGCACCTGGCGAAAGCTAAAGGCAGACTGTGGCGGTTACAAGCCAGGCGCTGCTGACACCTAGTGGCCAGGCCGGAGCTGTTGCCGTGCGGCCTGCGGTGCACAGCCGCGGGCAAAGCTTGACCTGGTCAGAAACTCTAGCTAATCTAGCTAAGGTTGCTTTCTCATGGTGGAATTGCTTCTTTCTCTACCATGTCTTACTGTAATGCAGCTGACTTAACATAGACATTAACTTTGGAGTAAATTGGGAGAAGTGTAAGGTGTGGTAAACACACTCCACATCCACAAGTACACCAGCATCTGAGCAGAGCACATAATAAAAAATAAAATAATATGCCCATCCAATTATAAGTACCTTAACAATTAAAGGAAAAGGAAATCAACTTCTGTTTATTAAAACAAGTTGACACTTAACTAGGAAAAATTTGTTTCTGTTTATGCAGAAAAAGCCTCTTCTATTATATAATATGAAGTAACTGGCAAATTTGTAAAATGAGTGAGTAATCAAAAGATTTAGTTTTCATAAGAGGAAAGATCCATGAAAAAAGCATTCCATTTTATATGACAAATATAGCCAGGTGTATGGCGCACATAGCTAATCCCAGCACTCAGGAGGCTGAGGCAGGAGTATCGTTGTGAGTTTGAGGCCAGCCTGGGCTCCATAGTGAGTTCAAGGACAGTCTGAAGTGCATAATGTGACCTGTTTTGAAAGAAATAAAAAAGAAAACAGACAAATATATACATTAGTCAAATGAGTGAAAAAAGTTAATACTTTTGAGATGTGTCCTTAGGTCTGTTAAACTGGAAAAGGAAAATCAATAAAACTTGACCAGTTGAAATTTGGAAAAATTAATATATATATTTTGACGTATAATTATAAACTAGCTGTTTGGGGAAAAGAGTGAAACTGTGTTGCCATAACCTTAAAAATAACAGTCTTTTTTGAAAAATAAAAATTGAAGAATACCAAACTACCAGGCATGTTGGCATGTACCTGTAATACTAGCTACTCCAGAGGCTGAGGCAGGAAAATGGCCAACTCAAGGTTAGTGAAGGTGTTACTTTAGCAAGATGTTGTTATTGTTGTTAAAAAAAAAAAAGGTGGGAGTTAGGGGGTGCTGGAGACGTAGCTCAGTGGTAGTGTGCCCCAGGTTTGTACCACCAAAAATAATTACGTGACTGAATTGCTCTGCATCCCAGAACTGGCGTAGATGCGCTGCTTTCCTGATAATGGCCAGGTTCGTGGCGGGAAGCACGCAGCCCTGGGAATGTGGGTCTGCCCTGACTCCGGCTGTTTCTCGGCTGCTGTCCTTGTTTTCTTCTTTCCTCTTTGAGGACTCTGGAGAGTCAGTTATCACTCAGAATTGGTTTTGTACGTAATAAGGCTTCATAATAGTTGTAGACTTTTCAGAGTAGTTGATGGCTATAATTTAAAAACAATTTACTGTGAAGTTAAGTGTACATTTAAGTTTTCATTGGCAGTTAGCCATTGATAGTTACTGTAAATATTTAAGAGGGTTTGAAGGTGATGTCCAAGTACAGACTTCTTTGGAAAGTGCCTTATTCAGCAAACCCAATTGTTTTTTCAGGTCTCTACAGCAGAACAATGTCACTCTTCCCCCAAAAGTATGATTTCCTGCAATAAAAAATCACTGTATCTTCCACAAGAAATGTCAGCTGTCTATATAGAATTCACAGAATATTACTATCCTGATGGAAAGGATTTTCCAAGTAAGAGGATTTCCTACTTTGTTGTGTAGTTGTTATTTGAAAAAGTGTTTGTTTTGTTTGAGATAGAATCTTGCTATATGGGCAGACTGGCCTTAAACTCACTTTTGGAGCCCAGACTGGCCTCACAACAATCCTCCTGCCTCAGCCACTGGAGTGCTTGGATTAGACATGTGCCACCACACCCAACCTGTTAATTCTGTTTTTAATGTACATGTTTTATGTATTTGATTTATATCCTGCCTCACTTTCTTAAGGATATGAACATATTGAAGGTTTCTACAAGCTTGTTTTAAGATCCCTTTAGGCTGGGAATACAACTCTGTGGTAAACCTCAGTGGTTCAATCCCTAGCACCTCACAAAAATATAAATAAATACCTTTAATAGCTATATGATTATATAAAAAGTATACCCCCTTTGGAAGCTGTACATAGATCTTTCTGTTGTTTAGGGTACTGGGTTCTTTCTCAGTCCCAGATTTGGTCTCAGACTTGTTTTTCTTTGCGCTCTTACCTTGGGACTGTATTTACTCTCTAAGCTTCATGCCTGGAGATTCCCTGTCTTCCCTTTTTTCCTTTTAGACAGTGATGTAACCTCTTCAGCACCTTGCTTCCTTTGTATTTCCAAAGACAAATACCCCACATCATAATTACTCTGATAGGCTTGAATTTTAACTTTTTGTCTCTTGTCTTATAAAAACTATTAAGTTTTCTCTTTAAGGGGAAGGACCATGCTGTTATTTCTTTTTGTTTTCTTTGTGCTTAGTTTAATGTACAGAATGTAGTAGACATTTAGTGGCTCTTTGCTAAAGGAAAGTGAATAAGTGAATAATGAGAGCAAAGAAATTCATACACATGACACTGTTACAGTATTTTCTCTGTTCTGGTTTCCCATCCTTTGGATTTGTTTTCCTTGACTTAGTTTGTTCTTAACATTCTAGATGTACATATTTAGCTTTGGTAAAAGCAAATAACTTTGAATCTTTACTATGCTGTTCTGGATTTCAACAAGTGTTACACATGCTAATTGTAAATGCTAGTTTATTTTGAGAGAGTTATGAAAAAGTTGTATTCGTTTGAGTGTTCAACAGATACTTGGATACTTAGTTTTGCTTTACCTCAGGCACTATTCTAAATTTTGACTAAAGTAGGAAATTAATCAAGGAGTTTGCCTAGCATATCTCTTTCAAAGGAAGTTGGCCAACAGTCTAAGGGATGCAGGTTAAGATTCAGAGAGTAAAGAAGTCCTTAGAGATATACACCAATGCGAACTGTAGTTCTGGAGTTTTACTTCATCAATAAGGTAATATTTTTAAAGGTTTGCTTCTCTTTGAATATAACCTTAAGGAAAGAAATCTGCATAGTTACTTCCTGTTTATTCATCTAAACTTATATTACATTAAATATCTTTCAATTAGTGAAACATACAAAATGTTGTTTTGACTTTCTGCTGCCAGTTACATATGTTACTCTATTGTATATACCTCACATCACGTCTCAAAAGTTTAAAGGAAGAATTGGATCTGTTAAAAATATCTTTTCGGTTCTCAGGGGACATTTAGAACTATTAACAAAATTAACATTTTTTTCTCCGTAGTTCCATCTCCCAACCTTTATGGCCAGCTGAATGCACTACAGTTTACTGTGGATGAAAGAAGCATTCTGTGGTTAAATCAGTTTCTGTTGGATTTAAAACAGAGTCTTAATCAGTTTATGACTGTGTACAAGTTGAACGACAATTCAAAATCTGACGAGCATGTTGATATTCGAGTTGATGGCTTAATGTTAAAGGTACAGACAAGTGACTGTTAGCACAAAATCACTATTATGGAAGCAAAGTTGGCAGTATTATAATTTTTAGGAGTCTTTGTAGCTTCTTTGTAATAGTAATTTTGATTTTGAAATTTCAGACTTGTTTGTTACAGCAGCTTTAAGAAACTGCTTCTCTGTACTCCTCCATTTGTGCAATACTTAGGAGTTTTAAAAGTCATTCTCTAAAATTTCCATGCATTTATAATTATAGTTTAAGTTAGTCATTTTTCTCTTTTGGACCAGATACATTTTTTTTTTCCAAGAAAGGTAAATTATACAACAATTTTTAAATTGTTTTATTTATTCTACTAGTAATATCCAAAGATAATAGAAACTTGCTTTTCATTATAGCCAAGTAGTTAGTAATCTGAGCTCTATGGATTTTTAAGTTTTAAAGGAAAAAAGTTAAGGGAAAAAAAAAAAAAGAAAAATCCTGGCTGATCTAGTTTAGTAAATAGAATGACTTAGACTTGGATGAAGGTTTTGATTTCTAAGTCTATTGTGGATAGACTAAATTTATATACCTTTAACTCTTCCCTGTAAATGATGTTAATACTCAAAAGTTGCCTTGCAGAAATATTTCAAAGGTCTTTTCAAGATCTTATAAAACTCAATATAGAGGGATGTTTTATAACATTTATTCTGTAGTGATGTTTGAATCTTCTGAATATGAGTAGCATTAAAATGAGCCATTGTGGGGGCTGGGGATTTAGCTCAGTGGCATAAGCGCCTGCCTTGCAAGCAGGCAGTCCTGAGTTCGATCCCCCGTACCAATAAAAAAAAAAAAAAAAAAAAAAAAAGAGCCATTGTGAACTCTTTGGTACCAATGTTTTCAGGACTAGTTTTAAATATCCTTGAGAATTATTGTAGTAAACAGTTTGATCTATCCTTTTAGGTTTACATTCTTAACAGTTCAAAACACGGATTCTAAGGACGTCTATCCAGTCATTCCATTCTTACATGCATTCTCCAAAACATTTGGATTAAAATATTCTAACAAAAAAATCCCCTTCCCAGACTTAGTACTTTTTTCTGTGCACTCAGGTCATAGTCAGTATTTATTAGTAATGATTTAGCTCAATCGTGTTATTTTTATTTTGTGATTTATTATGTATAAAATATGTGTACAATATGTTTTATTTTTTAAGAATGTTATTCTCTTAGTGGTCAGTCATTTAAATCCTTTTTATTCAATTTGTAAAAAGTTCTGAAAGGCAGAGAGTTGGTGTTTTATTTCTAAATAGGAAAGAATTATTGTGGGGAAACTTTAAAAGACTCACTAAGCTAAATCATGTTCTTGATTATTTTATCTTTAAGATGTATTATTTGTAAAAAAAAAAAAAAAAACAAAAAAACTAAGGTGTTTGGATTTATAAACTAGACTAATTTTTCCCCTCTAGTTTGTCGTTCCTTCTGAAATGAAATCTCAGTGCCACCAAGATCAACCTTGTGCTATTTCCATTCAGAGTTCTGAAATGATTGCTACTAACACAAGGCACTGTCCAAACTGTCGACATTCTGATCTAGAAGCTTTGTTTCAAGACTTCAAAGATTGTGATTTTTTTAGTAAAGCATACACTGGCTTCCCTAAATCTTGTGACAGCTTTAATCTTCTACATCCAATCTTTCAGAGGCATGCTCATGAACAAGATACCAAAATGCACGAAGTTTACAAAGGAAATATTACCCCAAAATTGAATAAACACACTCTTAAGACTTCTGCTGCCATGGATGTTTGGGCTGTGTACTTTTCTCAATTTTGGATAGATTACGAAGGGATGAAAAGTGGAAGAGGACGACCAGTAAGTTTTGTAGACTCTTTCCCTCTATCTATCTGGATTTGTCAGCCGACCAGATACACAGAGTCACAAAAAGATCTGCAGACTTGTAACCAGGTACCTATGAATACATCACAGAGTGAATCTAGTGACCTGGCTGGCCGGCTGAAGCGAAAGAAGCTCTTAAAGGAGTTTTACAGCACAGAATCTGAGCCTGTGACAGGTGGTGGCCAAAAGCCTTCATCCGATACATCGTTGAAAATTTCCCCTTCATCATCAGATGCAGACATTCATGTTCTGGTCCATGTTCAAAAACATGTTAGTATGCAGATCAATCACTACCAGTATCTGCTCCTACTTTTCCTGCATGAGTCACTTATTCTATTTACGGATAACTTAAGGAAAGATGTAGAAGCTGTGACTGGCAGTCCTGCTACTCAGACATCCATTTGCATTGGAATTTTACTTAGAAGTGCAGAGCTGGCTCTTTTGCTGCATCCAGTGGATCAGACAAAGTCTCCTGTTTCAGATAGTGTGAGCCCAGTGGTTCCTGAGGATTTGCCACCAGAAAATGGAGAATTTTTGTCTTCTAAAAGAAAACAAGTTAGTAGTGGTATAAATCCAGTTAGAAGCATAGCTGTTAATCATATGTCAGACAACAGATCTATGAGTGTTGACCTTACCCATGTTCCTTTAAAGGACCCTTTGCTTTTTAAATCAGCTAGTGACACAAATCTGCAAAAAGGTACTTTTCTGGACTATTTATCAGATAAGCATTTAGGGAAAATAAGTGAAGATGAAAGTAGTGGGCTTGTTTACAAAGGTGGCTCAGGAGAAATTGGATCAGAAATAAATGACAGAAAAGATTCATCTTATACAGATTCAAATCGTGTCGTAAACTGCCAGGAAGACTTGAATAGGCTGTCACTGGATAACGATGATCATCAAAACACACTTTCAAATAGTTTAGGTAGTAAAGGAAGTGAAACCACAGAGTCAAACAGTAAGCCTGAAGATTTGCTTCTAGATGCAGCTTCATCCCCTGACAACCTGGAAATCAGTAAGGAAGAGACATCTGCAGTTAAAACACTTAAATCACAGTCGTCTTTAAGGTAATGTTTATTGGAAGTTTGGGGCTTTTTGTTGGTTTTTGCTGAGTGTGTATGCCCATGAGTATATTTTATTTTGGGGCAGAAAACCTCATGACAATATGTTATAGCAGTATTGTTGGAGTTAACAGTAGATTTTTCAAAATATGACAACCTTTTGAGTTTATACATTTAAATACAATCTTAAAACTTATAGATGCTGTGTCCATATTTTAATGTTGTATTTTAAGATAAACTACTTTTTGATGTAGTAATCTTCTAGTAACTTCGTTTGCTAACAGTGGGAAGCCTAAGGAACGTTGCCCATCCAACCTGCCTCCTCTCAGTGTTTCTCATAAGAACATGAAGAGAAGCTCCTCCCAAATCTCGTTGGATACTATCTCCCTTGACAGCATGATATTGGAAGAGCAGCTGTTGGAAAGTGATGGAAGTGATAGTCATGTGTTTTTGGAAAAAGGTAAAGCAGTTTGGTGTTAAGAATTCTTATTATATACTAGAATCTGCCAAAAAATGTGCATACACTTCAGCTTTTCACCATATTAATGCATGTCTGGAAGCTCATGGCCACCACTTTAAGTATCTCTTGGGCCAAAAGTAACCATATTAATCTTATATCTCAATACACTTAGTATTAAAGTGTTTATACAAACTTTTCCTGCTATATACATTTTTGGTGGACTCTGTATTTCAGCAAAGCTTATAACAAGAGCAATATTGAGTAATTTAAATAATTATTAATTACATCCAACTACCTAACTCTCTAATGGTAATTTCACTTCTTTTTACTTCTTTTCTTTCTTTGTTAAAAAATAAAACAGATTTTTGTAGCCAAGTAATAAGAGAGTAACGATGGTTGTTATGCTGTATATCATTATCTTTAAATTAGTTACTCAATATAAGCCACAAACCAAGAAGATTCTTACAAAAAAGAAACTGATCATAATACAAGCTTTTAAACTCTTGGTAGAAATGAAACAAAATAGTATATATGTGTGTGTGTGTGTGTGTGTGTGTGTGTGTATTGTAGTGTTTTTAAAACAATAGAATGCCAGGTGTGGTGGCACATGCCTATAATCCTAGTACTGGAGAGGCAGAGGCTGGAGGATCACTGTTAGTTTAAGAGAGCCTGGGCTAAAAGTGAGTTCAGAGCCATCCTGAACTGTATAATGAGACCCTGCCTCAAAAAGACAAAGAAAAACACTAAAACCAAAACTAATATGTAATTTGGAAGAGTCCCTTGCTCCTTTTAAGCACATACGTCTGTTTCTTTATAGCTTCCTAGTCATTATTTATGCACAGTTGTTAGGATGATAAAACAACTGGCTTGAAGGCAGCCCACCTCTTTTGTAAAGCACCTGTATGTGGAAGTTTGATTAGATGGGGCTCATTTACCTGGTGGAGTCTCAATTGTGTGATCCTGTGACTGGGAGTTTTCCAGACTGGAGCTGATAATTTTTTTTTTTTTTTAAATTTAAAGAAAAGGAAACAAAAAAATACATGGAGATAAAAAAGGGTAGAAATAATACAAAATTACAGAAAAACAAACCGTAAGAAATCACTGGTTGATAAGTTACATATTGTCATCTTAGAAATGAGCTGATAATTTATAAAACCCAGATTATTTCACAAATGGAAGGACTAGAAGGTCCTTCCATTTCATCAGAGGTGACTAGAGTCCCAGGAAAGGCCACTATGAGTGATTCAGCATTAGATACATCTCCATAAGTAAGACATTGGGGACTTTGTAAGCAGGAATAAAATCACGGGCCCAAATCAGAAAAAGCTGCCACAGACAGAAAATAGGAGACCAGAGAGAGGCAAATATGAATTATTTTTTATAGAGCAATTGGAAACAGCTCAGATGAGACGGTCAGTAGTGTATTAATAAATATACACAAAGCCCGGCATTTTGGAACATGCCTGTAATCCCAGCATTTGGAAGACTGAGGCGAGAGAATTGTGACGTTAAAGCTAGCCTGGGCTGCGTAGTGAGTTCCAAGCCAGCCTAAACTACATAGCAAGATCTTATCTTTTAAAAGAAAAGAAAACAAATATATATTTATGTTAATATGGTTATTAGGCTGTGTATCATTGTCTATAAGTTAGTGTGTGTGTATAGTAGTGTTTTTACAGTATGGTAAAACAGTATAGGCCACGTATGTGTACGAGAGAACAGTAGGTATTATTGGCATAATTGTACAGTCGTCCATTTATTGTCAGGTGCTGTACTACTATATTTTGTGCTGTCATCTCGGAGTGCCCCAGTCTGGGTGATTTACGTAAAGACTGAAGTTCATTTCTCACAGTTTGCACTGCTGAGGAGTCCGAGACCATGGCCTCAGCAGGGTTGGGTGTCACTCCCTAGAGACCAGGGATGCTGCACCCTTACTGGATGGGGAGTGAAAGGGCAAGAGGCCTTTTAATCTCATTCCTGGGGGAGGGGGGCTGGTGTCCTAAAGGCCACATTCACATTGACCTCACATGAATTCGTGAGAGGACCTATTCACCTCGTTTAATTTGAAACATAACGCTGTAATAGTGACTAACATTTAACACATTTGTTGTTTTGGCACCCGTTCATATATGTGTGTGTCAAAATGCATTTATCCCTCACAATAGTTCTATCAATAATATACTAGAATCTTCAGAAAGGTCAAGTAAGTAACCTGTGGTAACCAGCTCGTAGTGTATCAGTAGCCTTGCCCTTGCAGGCTGTTTATTCTGTCCTCATTGTACAGGGATAGCAGCTGAGGTTCCTAAAGGGGAAGAAAGTTGCTTGTGGTGACATTATTGTAGGTAGGGCTTGGATGGTCGCTTGTTTTGTCTAGGCTGACAGTTACTAGGTACTTACTATACTAGTTACTGTTTTAACATTGGATCTGTTTTATTGAATCTTCAAATCTAAGATAGGGATGATTATTATCTCCATTTTAAAGAAGAGCGAAACAGAGCTGAGGGAGGTTGGGCAGCTTGTGCACAGTGACACAGTGAGTGGCGGAGTTAGCGTTTGACGCAGGCAGCCTCAAAGTCTGGGCTCTCCTGGCTGCCTTGACCAGGCTTTTTAAACGTACTCTTCGTATGGAAGTCAGAAAGCAAGGCTGTCTACCCGATCCCTGTTTGCTGTCACTTGGCAGTCAGACTCCGTGGTAGATGACGGGGAAAAGGAGTAAACATTTGTTGAACACTAGTCACTCTGCTCCATGCTTTAACATATATTTAACCCTCAAAATAACCCTCCAAGGGATTATTGATCTTTTTAAAAAATATATATTTAAAAACTGAAGCTTAGAGTTCAAAGTTCAAAGTTTTGCAGCCAGGGAGTAACAGAGGCAGACTTGTTAGCCAGTCCATTCAAAAGCCTGTACTTTTAACTAACATCCCTGCTCCCCAGACTTGAAGGATGATTACTATGTGTAAACAAAAATGCATACTCTGACTCATAATACTCAATTCATAGCACTGTCCTTTCCATCATACCACTTCAGAGTAATGATACAGATCATAAAAAACACTTCTAGATTCACAAGATAGCTCTAGTTGTTTGTTCCCTGTCTCAGTTATGGTTGAAAGTCCTCCCTGAAGAGGGTTTCTATCCTCAGAGGCAAATACTTTTCAAAAACAGTATGGCAAATGTGCTTACTTATTCTTTAAAAAACTGGGTAATTTTCTATTTCTAATAATTAAATAATAAAACATAATTACCATTCAATGTGGAAAACTTGGAAAGTATGACCATAATTTGGAAAATAAAATCACCCCAAAGCCACACGCTCTAGAGATACTACCTCTTACTTACTCTGAGGGCTTGTGTGTGCGGTATGTACGTGTCTTAGTTACTTTTTCAAGACACAGTACCCGTGACCCACAACCCAGCACGGGACAGGTTTATTCTTGCTCACAGTTAGTAGAGGTTTCAGTCCAATAGTCAGCAGACCCCAAGGCAGGGCAGGCAGCAGGACGTGCTTGCACAACGTAAACCATACGGTGCGCGCATGTGTGTTTGTTGTCATTACATATATGATCTTGTAACTTGCTTTTTATAACGTGTAAGCATTTTCCAATTGGAAACTATTTTGAAGATATTTTAAACCTGTGTAAAATTGTTATAAAAATGTATCATGACTTTTTAGGTATTTCCCTAATGTTGGATGTTTATGTCATTTATAATTTCTCAACATTACAAAAATGCTATCATTTTTGTACTCCTAACTTTTTGCCCACATTTCTGATTACTGTCTTAGAATAGATTACAACAGTAACTTTTTTTAGGACCTTGAAAAATGTTGTCTTCCTCACAACACTTAATTGATCCATGTTCCTGGTTCTCCTGCAACTGTGTGTGTGTGTGTGTGTGTGTGTGTGTGTGTGTGTGTGTGTGTATGTGGTACTAGGAATTGAACTCAAGGCCGCACATGTGCTCAGTAAGTGCTGTACCACTGAGCTGCATTCTATCCTTTTTAATTTAGTTTAACTTTTTATTGAAATCTGGACTAGGTTGCCCAGGCTGGCCTTGAACTTGAGATTCTCTAATGTCAGCCTCCTGAGTGCACTGAGACACCTGCTTCTAAACTCATAATTACAGTAGTCTGTTAGAGGAACTGATACTCATCTGTGTGTATCATACAGACACATGCATTTGTGTGTGTATGTACATATGACATTCATGTATATTCATGTATATCAAAGTCCTATATTTGTGTGTATATTTACTTATGGATATATACATATTTATGAGCACTTACACACGAACACATACCTGGCTTCCAGCTCAGCACAAGCTCCTAATTGGTCTCTTCACATCTACATAATTCATTTGCAGTTTATTCTATAGGGAGAATGAATTGTCTTCTAAAAATGCAAATTTGATTTTTTCCCCCATTTTAACACTTGTAACTTCTCCTTTCTGTAAAAAGTTACGACTCTAAATCCTTAACATCCTGAGAGTGTTCTGTTGACTTGGCCCCAGCTTCCGTTTTTCTTGGTGTTTTGTATGCTCACTGCCCTTCAGCTGTCCTGTAGAATACTGAAGTCTTCCTTAGTTTCTTTACTGTGATGAACTCTCTTATACTTCAGCTCTTATATTTGTACCTGGAAAGCTCTTGTTTTTTCTGTTTACCTTAATTAAAATATTGTTATCAAAGAAGCTTTCTTAAAACCCTGGGCTGGGAAGAAGGCCATTGGAAATGGTTTTACAAGGTAGCTTCTGTACCATAATTATATTTCTATGTATCTTCCCTGTCATTCACTGGTAGTTTATTTTCTACTCTATTGTTAAGCACTAATGGTAGAAGTCAAATATATAGTAGTAAATATAATAAGTTAAGGTTTGTGTTCTGTAGCTCTTTAGCTTTTCTAATATGATTTTTCTAGTAGTTAATTTTGTGGGTTTTTAAAAGTATTCATCTGTGACAGACACTTTTACTTCAGGTAGCTTGAGAAATACTGAAGCACAGCACACTGAGGATTTAGAAAGCTGGGGGTGGGTGGGAATAATCAGGGTAATGATGATGGCATTAAGTTCATATAAAATGCAATTCACAGTCACCGTAGGGTACTGAGGAGGACTGAAGCGGTCAGACTGCAGCTGCCCGCCGTGTGGAGGTGGCTGGGTGAGGCGGAGCCCCCGAGGAGCCTGGTAGTTGGACCAGCCCTGCCGCTGCTGTGTGTGGAGAGAAGGTGCTGTGTGCAGCAGTGGAAGATTGTTTGGGTACCAAGTTTAGGGCTTTGTATTTATAACCTTTTAATTCTGGGCTAGTGCTTATTATTTGCTAATTAACCATAATCTAAATTTTTTTTCTAGTTTGCTTTTGTCTTTGAAACAGGGTCTTGATATACAGTTCAGGCTGGCCTTGTGCTCACTTTGTAGCCCAAGCTGGCCTGGGACTTGCAGTGATCCTTCTCCCTCAGCCTCCTGAATGCGGGGATTACAGGCATGTGCCACGACATCTGCTATCTTTTCTAGTTTTTTAAAGAAGACGATGTTTGAGAAAGAGTTGAAGGGACCATCCATTTTGGTGAAATAAACTTCACTTTGTGGATCATGTGTAAAACTGACTTTATTAGTTTATTTTATTTCAGAAATTAAAAAGAACTCTACTACCAATTACCAGAGCCCAGCAGAGAATGTAAGCACCAGTGCAAATCTGCAGAAATACGGTGAATCCTCTCCAGATGCCATTAGTACGAATTCAGAGGGCGCGCAAGAAAACCATGATGACCTGGTAATCACTTCCGAGGAATTGTATGAGAGAAATGACATCAACTTTCTTTCATATTTGATGTATATGCATTTTAAGATATTAATGTGTAAAGTGAATTTTTAAATGATGGGTGTTTGACTCTGTTCTTTCTACTCTTTTTTAATTTAATTTTTTGAGACAGAGTCTCACTCTGTAGTCCAGGCTAGTCTTGAACTTACTATGTAACCCAGACTGGCCTTGAACTCGTGACAGTCTTGCCTCAGCCTCTCAAGTGCTGAAATTACAGGCATGCGCCATCACACCTGGCTTACTTTTTCTACTTGTGAAAATGCTTTCTTGTGGAATCAATTGGATTTTTTCTATTTATTTTTGTAAATTTGTTTTTAAGTGTTTTGAGGAAGGGAGAATGTATTTTTTTTTTGACCTATATTTTAGTTTCTTTTAAATATGCTTTTTAAAAAAAGTTTGATATGAGGAAGAAAGTCCTTATAATGTGGGGCTTTCTACAAAGGAAATTCATTATTACTTTCTTTTCAACCTTTGTGACCTAGTGGGATATTTATAAGAAAGAGTTTAAAAATGTATTAGGTCCTACTTGTAGCAAAAATCATTTTACATGGAGATGTCATATAATTAATCTTTGCCAGCTAAAATAATTTTCCTTGACTGAATAAAAAGACTAAGTTTGTCATTACAGATTGAGTCTCCCTTGTGCAAAATTTTTAGGACCATAAGCATTTAGGATTCTTAAAAAATTTTTTTGAATACTTGCTTATACATGGTGAGATTCCTTAGAGGTACACTAAGATGAAACATGAAATCTAGTTATGTTTCATATGCATTGTGTACACACAGCCTGATAACTTTCTATAAAACTTACTAATTTTGTGCATGAGCTGACTGTGGCAGTGTACCCCTGTAGCCCCCGTACTCAGGAGGCTGAGGTAGGAGGATTGCCATGAGGTCAGCCTCGTCTGTGGTGAGTGCAAGGCAAACCCAAAGTACTCAGTGAGATTCTGCCTCAAAAAAAAAAAAATAATAATAATTTCACACATGGAATAGTTTTGACAGTGCAGAATTTTCCACTTGCGGCATCATGTTGTCCCTGAAAAAGTTTCAGGTATCTGATCATTAAACTAAGTACACTAAGCCTGTATAATGTTCTGGTTCTGTAGGTCATAGATACATTTCTAGTTTGAGAAAACACAAGTGTATTTTTAGAAATGAATAAATGGTTATTTTTTACTTCTTTAATTCCTTGGTACACTAATATTATTTATATGATCAATCATAGATGTCAGTTGTGGTGTTTAAAATTACTGGTGTTAATGGGGAAATTGATATCCGAGGAGAAGATACAGAAATCTGTCTTCAGGTGAACCAGGTGACGCCAGATCAATTAGGCAATATCAGTCTTCGGCATTACCTTTGTAATCGTCCATTAGGTAAGATTTTTTTCAAACTACTTTGCACATGAAATACTTTAATATGATTTAAACTTGTTTTTTGTTTGTTTTGCACTTGACTAATCAGTAGTCTTTTCTTTGTTATAAATTGTTAAAAGAGCATTATGTTTCAGAAAAAAAGTCATTGAATTACCATATTTTTCTTGGGAAAAACACACAGAATTCCGTATCTCATACCTAATATATTGAAATAAATACAACCTGTATGGTAACAGAATTATGCTAGCACCTCAGAACTGTAGGTAAATGTATTGTTAGTCTGTAGGCCAACATTATAGAAAAAAAAATCTACTTTTTGGGTTTGCTTTCTCTGTTAGGCCTTGTAATTACAGTGTAGCTGCTTTAAAAAAGAAATTTAGGAATTTTGTATTAAGTGTAAATCCTAAAACCATGGAAAATAGAGGAAGCTAAATTTATATCTGGAGAAGTTTCCTAGTAGACAGAAATTAAAAATAATTTGAAACAAAATTTCAGAACCTGGACCTGTTATATATCCATTCTCAGCACTTTTCAAGTTGTCCACGCACATTATTTTCAGCTGCATAGTTTTCTTCCGTCATTTAAAGCTCACTTAATACCATTTCCTATTACTTTGTTTCATTTTGTATCTAACTGAACAAATTATTTTGGGGTGCCTTCTTTGGTTTGTATTAGTCAATACCTTATTAGTGTTAATACCTTATTTTTTCTCACTTGTCTTGTTTGGGTTTTTTGGAAGAAGGAAAAGAAAAGCAGGGAAGAAAGGAAGAGGGAATAAAATGAAGCAAAACCAAGAAATAGTTTAATTTGAACAATTTAATCAACGTTAACAAACGTGGTGTTTAGGGAGCAACTTGTAGACACTATTAGAACTCTCATAGTATTGCAAACTTGGTTTTGATTTTTGGTTTGTTATTTTTCTATTATCTTGGCTTCCTTGAATAGGAAGATGTATTAGTCACCTCTTCCTCACTAGAACACAATACCTGCCACTCGTAAAGATGTGAGAGGCGGGTTTATTTTGGCTCACAGTTTCAGAGAAGGTTGGCTGACCTGGCTGAATTGCTTGGTGACAGAGCATGTGGAAGAAAGCTGGCCATCCCATGGCAGCCAGGAAGCAGAGAGAGGGGGACATGGATGCAGCCTTCCAGGTCACACCCACGGTGACCCACGTCCTTTACCAGCCCCCACCTCTCATGCGCAGTCACCTGCAAACTTGAGTATAACTCCCCTGCCATCCAAATACCCACCGGCAGCCCACCTCTGAGCACGGGAGACCGTTAGCAGATACTTCAGAGCCAAACTATAGCTCAAGGCCTGGCACAGTAGCTCCATGGTGTAAGGAAGAGGACAGAGTGGAGAGGAGAGAGTTTTCTTTTTAACCTTTCAAGGTTTTTGTTCTACCTCTACTCCAAAATGCCGTTTTCAAATAGTCCTGGGGATTGAACCAGAGCTGCATCCTGAGCTGCATCCATCGTCAACCCTTTGTAAAATTGTTTATTTTGAGAAAGGTACTTGTAGAAGTTGTCTTATATGGGCTTAAACTTGTAATTATCCTGCCTCAACTTCCCAAATGCTGGGATTACAATTGTGTGCCCCCTTACCTACCTGCTAGTTACTTTTATTACTATATCAACAAGGTTTCTAGTGTTTCTTGATATTGGGAAGAACACCTACCATTACCAGTAAATAAATAAAGTTGTAAATAAAGTTAAAATATATGAGGTTTTAAATAGTTAAAGAATCTTCAGAATTATGTTTGATTTATTTTCTCTATTATAAATGTTAGTGAACAGTGGTAACGTTAATTAAATGTAATTTTGTACCCGAAATAAAAATTTTAACAATAACTTTGCACGTTGAGTTGTGTGCAGAGACCTCTCCTAGGTACATAAATATCCATAGCTTTACATTTTTGGCAACCCCTGCCTTACAAATGTGTGTGCATTTGTCCTCAGTTAAGATTATTCACACCCATGGTGAGGAAAACTAACAAGTCTTATCATCATGAATTTAATTAGTGGGTCTTTTTATGAGCACTTATGGGATAATTAGCTTTCATACCTCAGAAACAGAAATGTGTTTTCCTTTCCAAAACAACTGGTTCATTTCTTCCTCATGAATGCTATGAATTGTGAACATGGTCATACTTTTCTCGTTGTTGCTAGGAGGCTTACTTTTAGTCCACTTTTAGTACTGAAATTTCAAGTATTGTGGGTCACTAACCTTGCTAACTATCTTCAATTTTTCTTATTTTTTCTTTGTTTACTCATTTTTATCTGATTATACCATGTGCATATTGTTTCCTATTTATTTGGAGGTAGCCAGCATAAAATAAACAAGCAAATTAGTTACCATGAGTGTCAGTTCAGAAGTAATTTCTTTCAGTAGTTCCACCAATAGTTTTTAAAAGTTAGTCTATGAGAACTTGTTGAAATTTAAAATTTTCTTTTTAAACTTTGAATATTAATAGCTCTGTAAGCCATCTCAAGTTATTTTTAAGAACAAGGCCAAGTCATAGATAAATATGTTTATATGTAATCATATATTTTTTTCCAGTAGTTTCAGTCTTAATTTGTTTTCTAATAGAAACACTTCACTGAGGTCTTCTGTGTTTACTTTACCTTCATTCAAGGACCCAATCTAATGAGGAAAATGTACAAACCCTGATTTTGAGTGCTTCTTGAGACACAGCTTGTTAGTCACTTTAAATGCCATGACTATTTACTGCAGCCATCCATTCTATCACAAATGTATAGATAGGTACTCAACGCAGACACATTTAAGTGTCTGAAGTATATATTATATTAGTTATAACATGTTTTTTCCTATTGCAAGAAATAGAAAAGTCAACACAAATCACAAATAATAGTGATAGTTTTTGAGTAGCAGTACAAAGTTATGATTTTTTATGTTTATCTTCCCTAGGTTCTGATCGGAAATCTGTAATTCATTCCAAATCTTCTCCTGAGATTTCACTGAGGTTTGAAAGTGGGCCTAGTGCTGTAATACACTCTTTGCTTGCAGAAAAAAATGGATTTCTACAATGCCATATAGAAAACTTTAGCACTGAGTTTCTTACGTCTTCTCTTATGAATATTCAGCACTTTTTGGAAGATGAAACTGTTGCAACAGTAATGCCAATGAAGATACAAATTTCTAACACAAAAATAAATTTAAAAGTATGTTAGAGGATAATTTTATATTTTCATGTTACTAATGTTTATATGGCCTTCCTCAGTTTTAATTCATGTCTAAGACTATGCCTTCTCTGTAGCATACACTATTAAAATGAATTTAGGGCTGGGGATATAGCTCAGTGACACAGCTCCTGCCTGGTAAGCTGGAGGGTCCTGAGTTTGATTCCCTGTACCAAAAAGGGCGGGGGGGAGAGTTAGTGATCTTTGTGATGAATCATAGAGACCCTTCTTAAAAGTTAGAGAATGTCAAAGTAAATGAGGTAAGTCTTGCTGTATCACTCAGTGCATGTATAAGTGTACAGTATTTCTCACTCATTAAAAGTACTGAAGTAATGTTGATTTAAAATGTTTGTTTTAATTTCTTCACTTTCTTTAAGAAGAACATGCCAATATGATTTTTCTTCCTGTAGGATGACAGTCCTCGGAGCAGCACAGTATCCCTTGAGCCAACTCCTGTAACTCTGCATATTGATTGTCTTGTAGTGGAAAGAAATGATGATGGCTCTTTTCATATCAGAGGTATATGACAACTCATTTAAACAAATGTCTTAAATTTGAAGTTAAGTTACATATGTGCTGATTGTTTTCTTTTACCTCAAATAAAGAAAAGTACCAGGGCTGGGGATTTAGCTCAGCAGTGTAAGTACCTGCCTGGCAAGCTCAAGGTCATGAGTTCAATCCCCAATACCAAAAAAAAAAAGAATAAGTACCTTCAGGAGATCAGAAATTCTTAGGAGAGAGTGGAACATGGTAGCACATGCTTGTAATCCTAGACTCAGGAGGCTGAGGCAGGAGGATTACAAGTTCCAGACCAGCCTGGGTTACATAGAACTTCAAGGTCAGTTTGGGCAGTATTGTACAACCCCATCTTGCAAAACCAACCAACCAAATAAAACTACAGAGGCAAAACCAGGTTAGTCGGTGGCTATAAACCCAGGAAAGAAGTTGCTGAGGTAGGAGCATTGCATGAAGAAGTTGCTGAGGTAGGAGCATTGCATGAAGAATACTTAATTCATCACGCCCTCCTGAGTCTGGGACCAGCTAGAGACGGACAGGTCAGGCCAGCAAAGACCAGACCATCAACATCATGGCTGATGAAGGCTTGGGGGAGAGGGTAATGTAAGGCTGTGTGGAAAAGGCTGCCTGGCTTGGGCTTGCTGCCTGGTCTTAGTTCCCCTTTCTTCAAGGAAGGCAGATGCCAGAGTGAGAACAGAGTAAACCACACATGCGGAGCCCCTGCATTTTCTTTCCTAACTCATCAACTAGAGATGTCATCATACTTTCTTCCCTAGGAGGGGAGCCTGAAGCAGTGGCATCTGCACGCTGCTGTGTGATACTGTGTTCCTGCCAGGTAGGGTAAATTCCATAGCTGCCAAGTCCTGAGAAAATGCCCAAATTACTTGAGAAATACCCAAATATCATCACGCAATGAACAGAAACAGAGTATGGGAGGTTCACATGATGGAGTGTCACTCAGCAATAAAGACTGATGCAGTGGTGCATTTACAACATGGGTGACTTTAAAAACATCCTTATTGAAAAGCAGTCACAGACAGGACAGTTAGGAGCCTGTGGTATGAAGTGTCCGGGAGAGGCACACTTACAGAGGCAGGACATTAAACAGTGATTGATGTCCTGGTTCTAAGGAGGATGAGACCGGGTGGTTGTGCAGGCTGCAGGGAGTGATGAAGCGTTAAGTGGTTACAGGATGGCGGTTCTACCTGTCGGTACAGTGAAAACCACTGGATTCTACTCCGGAAGTGTGTGAGGTGTGTAAAGTCAGTTTTATGCTTTAATCAAGCTGGTTTGGGGATTTTTAAAATTGCTAGTTTTTGAACCATGAGTGACCTAAGGAAACCAGGCCTACACCTCAAACCACAACAGTGTTTTGTAATGGGAAAGACTGCCACCTGCCCTGGACAGTAGATTCTACAGTATAAACTACTGTTACTGCCTCACAAATTCAACTTGATGGAACTGTCGCGATTGGCACTGTTTCCACTTTTATACCAGGAACTGGGCCGTTCAGCTGCCATCAGTGTTGCTGCACCCAGAATGAGAAGGAATTTGCTTTTCCATCACTTTTCTCTTTTTTAAATTATTTATTGCTACATTTTAGGTGTACATAAAGATCACATTCATCACAGGATTTGTACCTGTACAAGATATATCTTGATTCTTTTTTTTCCCCATTCCCCTACCCTCTCTCCAACTTCTTTTTCCCTTCCTATTTACAAGAGCTTTGTTTCCATTTTTTTCCCATCACATCAGAAAAGCCCATCATTCAGAAGTGGGTCTTTTTATTCTTTTTTTTCCCCCTGATTATCACAATTCTTCACTCTTATTTGGGAAAGTCTTAAAAAACTAGTTTTTCAGTAAAGACTTTAAGGAGAAACTTCAAATAACAAAATAACAAAATTAGTTTTAGAAAATAACAAAGGTACATACCAGTTTCTTTCTTGCTTCAGTGAATTAGGTGCATTAATATTAATTTAGGGGAAAAGTACACATTTAAGTGTCCATGTCCACCTGTTGCCTTTCAGAACAGCACACCAGCTCTGAAGAGCTTTTCCATTCAGGGTACTGAGGCTGTGGCCTGCTGCCCTCAGGAACCGTGGTCCTTATGGTGTTGGTCTTTAATCAAAAGCATTTTGAGGGGAAGGGGCATTGTGTGTTTATATCAGTATGTATTTGTGTCTATTGCGTATTTAAAGATATCTGATTAACACTTTTTTCCCTTAGCAACAGACTCTTAAAATCGTTGTCGTTTGCTTCCAAACTTGAAATGTTATTGCTTTAATCACTAGTTCAAAAAATGGTATAAAACCTATTAACTCAGAAGAGTATCTCTGTGTTCTGGAAAGAAAGTTGAATGGAAATCTTCCCCTTGAGTAAACAGAGAACTCTAAAAGTCTCTTGTGAAACATTACCGAGCATCTCCCATGGTACTAGCAGAATGTTGGCACCAACTCATGGAGATGGAAAGGTGTTCCTGACACTCCATTAGATGAAACAGCAGGGGCCAAGACATGTATGTTACGTTGCCAGTTTTTACTTAAAAATGCATTTATGCATGGGAGTATCAAGAAATATGTAGAATGATGTTGAATTTTTATCTATCTCTGGGAATGAGATGTTGAGCATGTTTTTCTTTTTGTTTAAAAGTGGTTTTTGACTTGTACTGTCATAAAATGTTTCTAAATGCAAGAAAGTGAGAAATGGTCTTATGAGAGGCGACAATAGTTAATTAGACTGGCTGTGGTAATCATTTCCCCGTACTGTATAGATATATATATCTCTGAAAGCATGTTGTACACCTTGCATAGATAGGATTTATCAGTTACACTCAGTCGTTTAAAAGAAGTGAAAAACACTTTCCATCCCACTATCCACTGGAGCCTTTGTCCATTATGAGTGACTGCAGATAATGGATGATTTTTGGACTCTGTCTTTTGTTCATTTGTTCTCTATGTTTAGTCTCGTGACAGTGTAGCACTTTCTGTCGCCTTCTGGTCTCTCTTAGAAAAGCTGGCAGCCCAAGTCCCCTAATTCATTTTTAATATTGCCATCATTTTATAGATTATTTGTATTTCCATGTAAATCTTAGAATATGTTTACTAATTTTCAGCAAAAAAAACCTTAGAAATTGATTGTGGTAACAATTTTAAAAAGTATTAATACTTAAGTAACATTTTTTGGTTTGTAAAGTTCTTTTACATTAAAATTTAACCCATTGAATGTTTACCATAACCCTTTGTGGTGGGGAAACATTCCTACCATGTTCTTTTGCAAATGAAGACACTAAAGTTTAGGTAAGTTGAGTGACTTCAGGGTGAAATAGCTAACACGTAAGTGGCTGAGCCTAACATGGGGTGAAGTCTGTGTGTGTAAAGATTCCGTGTGTTTTATCTGTGAGAGCTGTGGGTCTGCTTATCAAAGTTTATAATGGCAGAAACGCTAGTTCCCCGGAGGTCTTGAAAGACGTTAAAGCAAACAGAAGGGAGCGCACTGGCCCTTCACTTGCCGTCTCTTCTCGCCTCTTTCCAGCCCTTCTCGGATCTTTTCTTTTTTTTATCTTACTTTCTTCTTCCCGTCTGTCCTTCCCCGTTGCTTCTCTTAACTCCTTTCTCTTCCCTACCTCCTCCTCCCTGCTTCTCTCTTTTTAAAGGTGGCTTGGGCTGGATGTGGTGCTCCTATTATCCCAGCATTCAGGGGCGGCTGAGGCAGGAAGGTTGCTGTAAGGTCAAGCCAGCCTGTTCTACACCGTGAGACCACCACGGCCAGCCTGAACCACGTAGCAAGACCCGGCTCAAACGAACAAACACAAGTTGGCTTTGAATGTGACTCCCATCTTACCTCTTCCTCTTCCTCTTCCTCTTCCCACGGTGTGCTTTCCTTTCTCCCGTTTTCTTCTCATTCTTCTCCACTGTCCATCTCTCCTCCTCTTCTGTGTCATTTCTTATCTTCTCCTCCCTCTTCTTTCCTCCTTCACATTCTCCCATTTCCCCTTTTCCCCACCTGTCAGTGGTTGAAATAAAATGAGGTTTAGAATTGCTTAGCCGGTGGTTTCTTTCTAAATGATTGCTTCTCAGGAGGCTTTGGTTCCGCATTCTCACGGTAGCCAGTGTAATCACTTTTTCTCTTCACTTAAAAGAAGAGTTTTGCTCTTTTAAAGTTTGAAAGCAAAATACATTATAAATTATTAATTAGTATCATAAGGGCATTAGTTTTTTGATGTTGAAAGGGGAGAAGACTTGGCTTTCCCATGGCGTAGTACTGGAGCTTCTCTCTCAGTCATCACCATGCTGAAAGGTTTGCTGGCGCCGTGTGCTCCTCATGCTGATACACAATCACTCGTTTCTTTTCTGTCTGTATGACTTTGTCTATTTTGGGTATTTTATATAAACAGTGTTTGTAATTTTTTCATCTTTCACTGATATATTATCCTAAGCCCTTACTTGTATGACAATATTGTAATTAGTTTCTGAGATTAGCCTACTGTAATAAAATAAATCAATAACAGTCCAAAACTCAAATGATGGTATTTATCCATGTAGATAGAACTGTTCAATTTTTATACATGTAATGGTAGTGAAATTTGTGTGACAGTCTTGGAGGGTAATTTGACCGTATGAACAAAAGCGTTAGAAATGTTTGTATTTGACTCAGCTGTTCTCTTCTGGACTTTTTTGTTGTTGTTTTGAAACAGGGTCTCCCTTCACATTACAGGTTGGACTTGATCTCACTGTGTAGCTCACTGGCCTTGAACGTGCAGTGATTCTCCTGGCTCAGCCTCCCCAGTGCTAGGATTAGAGACATGTGCCACCACGGCCAGCTGACATCTTTTTAAGGGGGAAAATTAAACAGATTTGACTTGTTTACTCAGTATAATTGGCAAATTGTCCCATTGGTCATTTCCTGTGATTTTGAAAGACCTAGCTGGCAGTCCTGGGACTGTATCACAGATGTGAAATGATTTCTGCCTTGGGCTGTGATGACTGGTCCATAGTTGCCTATGA